CATGAGTGAGTGCGATGGTCTAACATGTGGTTTAGTCATCTTCACCACTGCAAAAGATCACAACACGACTACCATCATATTGCGGATCAAGTTCCCAGTAGCTGTATTATAATGCAGAAAGTGCCGAAGTCCCACCTCTTGAATAAGACGAGCCGACCGGGGCAAGGTTATCTACTTGATAGACAACAATCAGTAAATTAACAACCAATTGTCCGTGATGTTTATTACGGAAATGAAAAATATCCCAAAAGAATAGATTTGAGGCAATGGGTCCTCAACAAACAGTGCACAGGGGTTCATTTAAGATGAAAGAGACATTGAATTTCCTCGTTACTAACGGATCAAGCATAAATAGCTATATGCTTGATCTGATCGCGCCTCCGAAATTTACTTTGGAGATCACTCAGTTACCCCCGCTGAACCAAAATAGTTTCTTGTGTTATCTGCATAGTGGCAAAGTCAAGCAAGAACTGATTACTTGTCGCGGTGGATGATTACGTCATTTATATTCGATCGGCAACTTTCTTTGCCGGAGATGATCAAATTCTCAGTAGCTCATCAGTGGAAAAGTATCCTTGATGAGGAGACTCGAATTAAGCGACATTCACTCCAATGGTGGAAATCGCTCGGAGAAAATCCTATCTACAATGATGAAAGATATTCACGGATGTATTATCAGGAGTAGTCCCATTCGAATTACCCAAGGACAAAGGTTCTCAACACGAGATTGACCTAAAACCGAGTTTGAAGTACTGTGTCATGAACCAAGGACCACTGCCTCTTAGATAAGTACTAGAGCAAATAAATTCTTTGCCGATTGATCAACAGCTGGCCATATGAGGGGGTTTACCTCGTCACATACTGTGTCTCCCCGAACTTATGTGTGCAAAATGCTGCAAGAAGGTGGCGAAAAGTACATGCATCGAACAGCTTTAATGCTGCAACTGTACCAGCCCAAACACCAATACCAAGGAAAAATGCCATCATAGATGGTATGGCTTAGAGAACCATCCTTTCATCCACATATCCGATGAATAGGTTCTATCAGATCCTCATGCGCGATAGGGACTTTCTCTTTACTTCAGTGACCACCCCAAGAGGTATGATTTGAGAATGGGTTGCAATGTCACAGGATTTAATTAATGCCCCTGCTGCGTTCAACCGATACATTACAAATCTGTTAATACTTAGTGAAATTTTGCACCCAGTTAGACTGATGATGTGTCCTTCAAAAGCAGGGTTATGGATGGACAGATGGATGTGGAAGTGCACCAACTCTACGTCCGGAAAGTTCTCACACTAGTGCGCGAGCATAAGTTGTACGACAACCTCAAGAAGTGCATATTCGTTGCTATGGAAATTCACCTCTTGATTGCATCGTAGGGAAGCATAGCGTACGGCTCTATTCGAAAAGATCTAGGTAATTACCGACTAGCCTATGATTACAGATGTCAAGGGACTTCGAAAGTTTCTTGGTCTAGCGGCGCATTTTCACAAAGGTTCACGCAAAGATGGCTGTTCAACTTTCTCATTTTATTGAAAAAGAACGAAAAATGGGATTGGAGTGCCGAATGACAGCGCTACTTTGGCCCATCAATAAAAACTTGACACGATTGCCAGTTTTGGCAAATGCACACCAGCACAGAGAAATTCATGTGGTCTGCGATGCAAGTGATTTTGCCATCGTATTTGCTCTGATGCAGTGTGATGCAGAAGGTGCCAAGCGTGTCGTCTGTTACCATTCACACTAGATGCAACCAGCTAAACATAACTAAACTGTTAACGGCCAGGAACTTCTCGCCATGGAGTATGCGCTGGCTAAACTCGATCTCTATCGGCTACGCTACAGACCCTTTATCGTTTATACGGATAATGCGTCTTTACGTACGGCCATAAACAGTCCACACCTCTTGCAGCAGATGGCGAGGTGGCTTTCATTCTTTGCGGAGTATAGTCTCTCCGTCAAGTATAATCCAGGACGACTTGATTTCGTCGCTGGTGCACTCGTACGCCTGCACGGTTTCGATACGTCTGCGCCGATCGACACTGATTTGACCAATGGAGCGGTTCTGACTTCGAGGATTCCGTCGTTATTTTATTGGAAGTCATACGTAAGGTGTATGATCCGGGGATGGTGCGATTGATGCATCATATTTTGCACTTATCCGGAAAGAGCTTCTTACAGTTGTGGTCAGTATGTAGATACTCGACGGAGTTTTATACAGTTTGCAACGGCTTACTCCAAAATTCGGCTGTTGCCGGCGACACACCTCTTAACGTCGTAACAATTTCTGGTGACCAGCGATTACTCCATGTATGAAACTCACGACGCACCTGCCGGTGGAAATTGTGGTCGTGAAAAAACATATCTTACAGCGAACCTTTATTACTGGACTCGCCAGTATCACTTCGTGTGCAAGTTTGTTTGGACCTGTTAGGTCTGTCAGCGGGTGAAATCTAGTCTTTTCTTTCAAACCCGTTGCATTCTTTGTCCGTTCCGGCCAAGTGCCGAAAATCCGTCTCAATGGAATTTGTCTTTGGATTCATCGCAGACTCCCACCATAATACTGATATGCTTGTGTTCGTTGGCAGGTTCAGCAAGAGAAATATCTGGTTGCTTTAACAGAGTGATCAACGCACCGGATTGTGCCCATGTTTTTATAGACTCGGTATTTTGCCTTCATGGGTTGCCTCGTGAACTTATGTCCGGAACCCGCATTTTTCGCCAATTTACAGCGTTCCTTGTTCAAAACACTTGGAACGGGCTTAAATATGTTTATGCATTACCGTTCTTTATATATATGGTCGTACCGAACGTGCCAATCGTTTCCTTGAGGAGATATCATAAGGATACATCCATTCCTTTACAAATCGGAGCAATTTTATGACGATGGTAGAGAGTCCGCCATCAACAATTTAGCTTTTGTATCTACGACGCACACGCCGTTTATGAATACCGGCATTAGCGTCTTCCAACATTTTTAAAATGTGAACCCCTTTCAAGGGCACGGGCACCATTCGATTGACCGTCAATCCGAATCTCACTCGTCACGTGCTGATTATGAGGTCACCTTGTTCGAAGCCGACGTCGACCAGATCGGCATGATTTAAATAAGTACAGTAAGATTGAAAATACTCGTACTGGCAGCAAATCTGATTTAATATGCCTCACACATGGTGCATCCGAAGACACAATCACCGATTATACCAGTGATCTTGATGCAGTACGCTCCAAGTGCTTTGCACGTAAAACATCGAGTCAGCCGATGAATTCATGCTGGCACGCAAAACGGTTGTCCATTGCGTACACTCTCTATTGCATAAGCGGTATCAATAAAGCAAATGCAGACAAGAATGGAAAAAAGGTCGTTTATCGATTGAAGGGGTATTACTCGTGCTATCTACGGTATTCTTACCATCACACATAGTTACTAACGTGGATTTAGCGCGTTACTACCCAAGTTATGATCCATTTTGTGTGCTGCGCCGCTTAAGCAACGCAAATACAATTGATCTGCTTGTAATATGCGCACGCATCCTACGTATCACGTTGGTCGCCTTAGGCTATACTATCAGCGCAGGGCTTCTCCTAGTTATCAAAAGCCTTGCGCTCAAGCATCTCTCAGAGATATTTTGTGCTAACGATGCTGACGATCAGCCCGCGTCTGAAGTTCGGATTTCTTCTCGTATAGCCGAGACAAATTCTGACGGGCCCCCATCATCTCGTTGCGAATAGAACGCTGTTTCTGCTCATTTGCCAGCTAGGCAAAGGCATAGTCTTCCATATCCTTATCCCGATATGAGCTCAAGCGCCTTACGTCGCCAAGAAATACCAGTTGCTCGTCTCGAGTTCGAGGTCCTCGAGCAACTCACACGCTGCGCTGTCAAGATGACTCAGAGCAAAAGATTGACCCCGCGATCCATCTGTTATCCTCCAGCTCACCCATCCATTGATAATCGCGGTGGTCAAAGATTCCTCGTGGAACGACTATTGAACCACCGCAATTTTAAAGGACGTCGGACAAGTTACCTTGTCCGGTGGCGCGGATGTCCGCCCTCAATGAATAGTTGGGAAGCTCACTCGCGACCGATGGTGGAAGTGTTGGGCCTTGTCGAGCAGTATGACGAGGAGCATTCGATGCCTCAGAAGGTCCATCGGAAAACGAACACCCAACGTGTTAGTAAAATCATTTCAAATTAGTTATTCCCTTTTATATCTCCGACGAGAGGCGAGCCCACACTAAAAATTGGCGATCCAGTATATTTATTTTGGAGTTCGTGTCAAGCTTTTCACCCAACTTTGGAGCGCATCATCTCAGTAGATGCATAAACCCATACTCTATTGATAAGCGATGCAGTTTGTAATGTGCACCCCTTGAAGTCCGCTTCTCAAATCTACTACGAGATAGGGTCAGTTTGTTAAGCCAGTCATCGTGCCCAATCTTTCCAACGCTGTGTATGAACTCTTTCTATTCCTGTATGAGCTATGCACCATTACGTTTATGGGTCCCGCTGTATCATCGACGCTTAAATAGCGCATGAATTTTAAGCCCATGCTTAGTGCATCAGTCAATCTCACTCGAGTCAAGGCCATGAAGCCTTAATGTATCAACAACGATCACTTTCAGCATTGACAAAAACTTTATCCCTCTCTGATGAGGTAACCACGCCTTCTTCTTTGAAGCAACGCGCAGTACGTCGCGATCTCTAGATTTCCTCGTGGTGTTAATAGAAGTACGGACACCGCGTCCAGCATATTCACCTAGATTGTGACGCATTACTGCCTCACCTTCATTTACTTCAATTGGTTCTTTTCACCGCCTTGATTGTCATGATGCGAACGACTTCGCCTTAGAGACGGAGCGTCTGACTCTTCGGACTATCCAAAGATGTCACGAAGTTCAGCGAGGCTAATGGCGCTTCGCAAGTCCGACTTGCTCTGCTCTGCCGTCGCTGCTATCGATTCTGCATTCGTTGACTTGGTGTCGCTACCCTACTGACTACCCAGAGTATACCAGCTCGAGTTCGTAGTAATCAAGTCCACATGGCGCATCACCGCATAAACCTGCACCACCAAAAGCAGCAGGCAAATTTTCGCCTGCTCCGTTCACGGCCTTTGCGTCATCCGCAACAGCGGATCGTATTCCCATCGCTTCGTTTCCTGCAGATTTTGCAGCACAGTGCATAAATTTGACGACCGTGAGGGGGAACAAAGTAATTGTTGGTAAATTCCAACAAGTACTTACCTTTCGCAGCGTCACTCTCAGGAGTCACTAGTTCATCCATCAGTCACCAAGGTGACATAAGGGGGTGATGTAACGCGGTTCCTCCGTAGAGAATTAGTTTACAAAAGGTAAATAGTACGTACGAATTTTTTGTACGGACAAACACAGTATTCTCAAAATATAAATTAATTAAGAAAAAATTCCATCAAACGGAGGTATGTATGCTAATAAAATAATTTTTTCTAAAAAAAAAGTTAGTTGTGCCAAAATTTGATAATTTTATCAGTGATGTGACAGGTCTATACTATCAACAGACTTAATACGCTTTCTTATACAAAAAATGTAATAGTTCAGGCTCATAGTGTCAATGTTGCTGCAAAAAATTCTCCTGGCATCGCCCTGTCCAAATCCAATATCAATAGGTGGGGCCGCTTGGCCACCGTAAGATGCCTTATGGTCTCAACGATAATTCGGCTTTCGAGGGCTTTAAAAGGAGAGGGGTTTACGCTTTACATTTTGTTGAAGCTACTAACATTCCCCGCCCTTATTTCCCCTGCTCTACGTAGACATTGTAAGAAATCCATACAAATGGGACAATCTTGATTATTTTGATACGGACGAACGCGGCGCAGGTAGAAATCCTACTGTACGAGGCGGAATCTCCTCTCCTATATCTTCCAGTACGCAATTGCATAAAATTTGCTATTGATTCGTGCGCTGTGAACTCCTCGAATCGCCCCGACACATAAATTAATTGATTGTGGCTGATGTGGTTGTCATGCGTTACGATTCGCTGTTAGAGCATCGCCAGCAGTCGTGCTAAAACGCATTCTATCCTAACGTTTGGCCCGAAATTGCCCAAAATTGTCTCCTGCAGTAGTGACAAAACCATGCTACAATTAAGGTGGACGCGATGAATGCCAAATATTGGGACGGTTTTGGTATGCGTCCGTCCGAATGACATTTTTCATTGGTATCTTGCCATTCACTACTGGCACCACCAAGATTACTGGATCTCCAGAACTACACCGAAACAGCATCTACCCAGCTTCCTCATGGACTACGCTGGAAGTACTTTTCAGGCGGCTTCTCGCTCTGTGTACTTTCTCTCGCAAGTCCTTCCGCCATTACTGGGCCCTGATCAGTAACGAGCGTACCCCGGGGCAAATTTCGATGCTGCCGAAGACGAAAAACTTTGTCGTCAATGGTTTAATGCCAGCCAGGACCCCAATGGCTGACTCCAAACAGAAGAGCAAAGTCTTCTGGTAACTTGCTCGTCCGAACTTCCTAAAGTTCAAGAACATGTCAGCGGACACAACAGCTGGTTTCACCTTCTTCAATAGTGGCAGTCCCAGTGTGTCTGCAGGTTTCCGCTTCCGGTCGAAGCTTCATCGTTACTCTCCACAGCTTGAACAGTACGCAGGAAGATAGTTTGGTGCATGCGGAACCTGCGGCGGAAGTACTTATCGGGTTAAGTTGGCGCTGAGTAAAATAGCCCTAGAAGAGCCATTGACGCCCTTCGAGGCGATTCCTGTCAATGTGAATGCGGCTACGGATGGAACCTTCGTGCTTTTTGAAATTTCGGCGCGCAAAGCCACGACAGCAGCTGCCTCGTTCTGCTACTGGGAACACGCTCTGATCACCTGCTGAGCATGAAGGAGCATGTAGTCGCCATCGCCTAGAAATTCACGAAGCAATATCTTGTTATGGGCCATTGTTGAGAACAGCGAAAAGTTGGGTAGGAGAGAATATTGATAACGGCAATTGGAGAACCGGGAAGTACAATGGGTCCTGGTACTTAAACGTTGAAGACTTTAATTGGTAAAGAGGGAATAGCAGGGAAAATAGCTCTCAATTGCTGGAGCGCCATCCCTAGCGCAACCCATTCTATCATGGAAGCGCGAATTTTGACCTAAAACATAGGATAGGTATTCACGACTGCTGGGAATGCTCTTAATGATCAATTTAAAGCTACGATTGATCTAGCACTCGGTCATCAGATTGGTCTTAATCGCATTATTGTAAAATGAAAAGCTGACACTTCTGGCGCATACAGTTCTGGGTTATACTCTTTCTTCCTATCACGGTAACACAACCTGCTACATTTTTGACATTATGCACCTTATAATTAAACAACGCTATGAAGTCGCACGAACAATTAGCGTTGCAGTTTCTTTTTGACACGCAGGTGCTGGGAGCGTAAAAAGCCCTATCGATAATTTCATGGACCTAATCACTTAATCTGGAAGTGGCAATGCTAACAAATATATTCCGACGAGTGAAGAGGAGAGTTACACGAAGTGCATCTCTCATTTTAAGTTAATGTAATTACAGAACAAATAGTTTGCGTCCACTGCCTTACTGTAACGGGGTGAATCGTTGCATAACAATTTATAAGAAATTGTTAATAGAATATAACTATAAGAGTTATATTCTCAGAATATTGTCATAAGGACAAATATTCTGTAGCACTTACGAGTAGTTCCTAATTGGTTGATATAGGCCATTATGTCAACCAACGAAGACGCGACAAGACAGACGCACGCAATGAGTGGTGAGTAGATAACTGATTTACACATTTGTATTTAGACATAGTTAGATGAAGATAAATAGTGATTTATTGCAGACATTAACTATGATAAATACAGTTCTACTTTTTACTTTAACCAAGTACTCGCTTCTTCTTACCGTTTTCCTCTGCACGTACGAGTGTACGTGAAGTTCCGAGGCACCGCCTTATTCTGTCATCAGAATGAGTAGCTTGTACTGTCATCAGTACAAGCTTCAGGGTGCCCCGTCACACCTGGTAGCACTTTGTAGTCCGTCCAAGGACCACGTTCACATCTAACATGAATATGTTGGATGATGAAGATGACCAAAGCTTTCACGCTACGCGTGACGGCTACTCCCATTTGAGCGATGTCGAATGGGATGCGGTTGAAAGGATGGGCTCAACCATGGGCATCCATGCTGTTAGCGCCATGCTAGAGGCTCTCAATAGAGATGCCCAACATGCTACTATCGCCAAGTTCATTCAAAATGACTTTGACGCTGAACGCGAGAAAGTAGCCTTCTTCACCAACAAGGTTCTCAACAAGCAGAGTTGTTGAGAGAACAGGGTGTTCAACAGTTTGAACTGTTGAGACAGCAGCAGGCTACTGCTGGTGGGTTGATGCACTCGCGTCGACCCGAGACTTTGAAGATTGACATCTCCAAGTATAGGGGAGTCGAAGAGGACTCCCTCTTGAGATGGTTCGTCGAATTGGATGACGCCATAAAGGCGCGTCGCATCGACGACGGGGATATGAAAGTTGCATTTGCCCAGTCAAATCTGGCAGGACGTGCCAAGACTTGGGCACTGGGGCTCAAGTTGCACGACCCATATGCGTTTGGGTCGTTGGAAGTCTTCAAGTCGCGGCTCAGACAAACGTTTGAACCGCCTTGAGCTGAGTTCAGAGCTCGAACCGAACTCTTGAAGCTCAAGCAGGGTAAGCGTGATGTACACGCTTACGCTCAACATATACGACATCTCACGAGTTGTATAAGTTCCAATCCGGTGGATGAACATACGTTGGTTCCAGTGTTCATGCAGGGTCTTGCGGATGGTCCCGTCAAGACTCACCTGTTCCGACTTGAACTAGATTCACTAGAACAAGTCATTTCCACTGCGGAGCAGGAAGACTTCAGTCTGAGACAGGCTCGCACCAGCTCGACATCATATCGTCAACCGAGACGATATGACAACGGAGGTCCAGATCCAATGGAACTCTGTTATATAGAGAGCGAGAAGGCTCGCTCTACAGACTACAAGAAGTTGCAGTAATGCAAAAGTTGTCAAAAGACAGTACACTACGCTTACGAGTGTAGTGCCCCTCGTCCAGTGTCTCGCAACACTGGACGTAATGAACGTCCATCCATGAGAAAGGGGCAGGAATGCGGGTCCGCTGTTAGTGAAAAGACGCAACAACGGGATGGACCGTCAAAAGAAGGACAGGATCAGTAGGTGCGGAGCACCCTACTGATCCAGCAACGTCAAGAGAATTTGTAGGCCTCTTGATGAAGGTTGCTCCCAACACACAAACGTTGTGCGTTGCTGCTCTAGGTAATGAGGTCTCACTCATTACCTTGAAACTCGAAGTGACGAATAAGTTGTCCCTTCGAGCTCTAGTCGATTGTGGGGCGTCCAACAATTTTGTGCGACGCCAATCGCTAAAAGATGGTCACTTTAAATTCAGTGAATGTGACACACCTCCTACGAGGATGACGGTACGTCTTCCGACAGGCGCATCCGTAACCGTCACGAAGCGTATAGTGAAGATTCACTATACGCTAGAAGATACCCAATATGACGATGACTTTATCGTATTGGATTTGGATGACAAATTTGATGTCATCCTTGGAATACCGTGGCTCAGAAGGTACGAACCACGGGTAAACTGGCAACATCGGACAGTAACGATGCCTGCCGCTTGTTCATCAAATGGCCATCTGATGAACGTTTTGGAGCGTCCACAAGCGTGTGGATGTACTACGAGTGAGTGCGATGGCCTCACTTGTGGTACGGTCGTTAGTACGACTGCACAAAACCTTAGTGTACCAAACGGTTACACTTCGGAGCAAAGTTCCGGCGGCTGTGAGGAAACACAGGCTGCGCCGAAGGTCCACCACTCGAATAAGTCGGGTGGACTGGGACAAAGATGTATCCCTAGCGGGGAACATCTAGAAGAGAAATCATCGATCGCTCATGTTAAGCGAAACGATAATCCTAGATCGACTGGAGAGTCTTTCGTAGAGGATCTCGCTGTAGTTGCGCAACCCCAGCTAGAGGAAGTAAAGGGAATAAGTCCCAAGATTACAAATACGGCGGAAATAAGTTCCCCGAAACCCGCGGGAATAAGTCCCCGGGAAGCCGAAGGAATAATTTCTTCGAGGCCTGAGGGAATAAGTCCCCAGGAAATGACAGAGACATTGAATGTCATAGTCAATAACGGATCAAGTGTAGACGCTCATACACTTGATCTGATTGCGCCTCCGAACTTGACTTCGGAGATCACTCAGTTGCCAACGCTCGAACATAAAAGGTTCTTGCGTGATCTGCGTAGTGGCAAAGTCAAGCAGATCTGCATACTCGTCGCTGAAGACGAGTGTGTAGCCGACATAAGGTCAGCAACAGTGTTTACTGAGAGCGAGAGAGTTCTTAGTAGTTCATCTATGGACGAGAGTGTCCTAGATGAAAAGACACGAATTGAGCGATATGACTCCCAATCGTGGGAATCGCTCAAGACAAATCCTCTCTATGAAGATTTGGTTGAATTCAAGGATGTATTTCCTGAAACTGTTCCGTGCGAATTACCGAAGGATAAAGGTAATCGACACGAGGTCGAGCTTAAACCAGGCTCGAAGTACTGTGTCATGAAGCAGTGGCCACTGCCCCGTGAACAAGTACTTGCGATCGACACGTTCTTTGCCGATCGTTTAGCAGCGGGCCATGTGAGGGAATCAACTTCCCCACATAGCTCTCCGACCTTCTTAGTGCGAAAAGCAACAGGAGGGTGGCGGATTGTGCATGCATTTAACAAGTTGAATGCTGCAACGGTACCGGCTCAGACGCCGATACCGAGGAAGGACGTAATCATTGATGGTATGTCAAAGAGTACCATATTTTCGTCCATGGATTTGATGGATGGCTTCTATCAAATCCTTATGCGAGAACGGGATATACCCTATACCGCAGTTAGCACGCCTAGCGGCATGCTCTGGGAATGGCTAGTAATGCCACAAGGGCTTAGTAATGCCCCTGCCACGTTCAACAGATGTGTATCACATCTGTTGAGACCAGTACGAGAATTCGCGCCGAGTTATTTCGATGACGTATTCATCCATAGTCTAGCTATGGATGGAAAGTCGGACGTTGAGGTTCACATGTACCACGTCCGACAGGTTCTTACAATCATGCGAAAGCATCAATTGTATGCAAACCTCAAGAAGTGTATATTTGCAGCAAGCGAAATACCACTTCTTGGGTGCATCGTTGGTAAGAACGGTGTACGTCCTGATCCCGAAAAGATCAAGGCGATCACCGACTGGCCTGTGCCGGTTGATGTCAAAGGTCTTCGAAAATTCCTTGGGCTAGCGGCGTATTTGCATAAGTATTCACGCAATTACGCCGAGATGACTGCACACCTCTCTCGTTTGTTGAAAAAGAACGAGAGGTGGTTATGGAACGCTGAATGTCAGCGCTCCTTTGATGGTATCAAGCAGAGCTTGATACAATCCCCAGTCCTAGCAATTGCCGATCAGGACAGGCCATTTCATGTGGTCTGTGATGCCAGCGATTTCGCAATAGAGTGTGCAAAAATGCAGACGATCTTGAAGGCGTTGAACGCGTCGTCTGCTATCAGTCGCGTCAGCTGCAACCAGCTCAGCGGAAATATCCAGTGCATGACAAGGAACTCCTTGCCATGAAGTATGCACTCGCGAAGTTCAGAGTCTATCTATTAGGAGATAGACCCTTCATTGTTTACACTGACCATGCGTCGTTACGCACGGCAGTGAACATCCCGCACCTTTCACAACGAGTGGCGTGGTGGTTGTCATTCTTTGCAGAATACAACTTTACGGTCGAGTACAAACCAGGACGACTTAATGTTGTCGCTGATGCACTCTCACTTCGGCCCGACTTTGAACCAGTCGTGAAACCCAACAGTGAGACAGCCACTGTTGCGGTTATGACGTCCTCAGTCCCATCTACAACGTTGCATGATGATGTGAGGCGGGCATACGCCCAAGATGGTGAGATTGTGAAGTTGTTGACACATCTCTCACAGCCATCTCGAGAATCGTCGAAACGATTGTCGTCTGCGTATCGATTTGTTTCAGATCGATACACTACTCGCAACGGGTTACTGTATTATACAGCCGTTACTGGTGACACACCACGTGTTGTCATTCCAGATGATACTGATCTGCGTTTGCGGATCATGTTCGAGTATCACGATGCTCCTATAGGAGGACGTCGTGGCCGAGAGAAAACGTATCTCACGGTGAGTCGAGACTTTACTGGCCCCGCCAGTATCGGTTTGTGCGCAAGTATGTTCGCGCATGCGAAGTCTGTCAACAAGTGAAGTCAAGTCCTTCACTGCGTGCACCTTTACAGCCTCTACCAGTTCCGGCAGAGTGCTGGGAATCCATCTCAATGGATTTCGTCTCCGGGTTACCCAAAAACGCACGCGGGAATACAGGTGTCCTCGTATTTGTTGACAGATTCAGCAAAATGGTACACCTTGTGGCTGTACCCGAGTCAATCACAGCAAGTGGCTGTGCTTGTGTCTTTATCGACACCATCTTCCGAATTCATGGGTTGCCCCGTGAACTCGTATCAGACAGAGATCCACGATTCACTGCTGATTTCTGGCGTTCCGTGTTCAAATTACTCGGAACGCGCTTGAAGATGTCGACATCTGGTCATCCAGAGTCAGATGATCAGACGGAACGAGCCAATCGTGTCCTCGAAGAGATACTACGAGGATACGTAAACTCCTTTAAGAGTTGGAGTGAGTTTTTGCCAATGGTAGAGTTTGCCATTAACAACTCGGTGCATGCGTCCACGACACATACACCGTTTTACGTGAATGGCTTGCGCCATCCGCGTGTACCCACCTTACTCGAGTGTAACTCTGGTTTAAGGGGGGGAGAGACTCGCGCGATCACAAAAAGATTTGGTTCACGCTCATCACGCTCTGACAATGAGGTCATTGCGTTTGATGCCGATATCGACAACATCAATATCGAAGAAGATGATGCCAGTGAGAGCGAGGAAGCCCTCACTGAAGAAAAGATTGATGTCGCTGCAGTGCACTCACAGCGCACTGAAGCTAACGAGTCAGCAGATGATCTCATACTGGCTCGTGAAACGGTAGTCCGTTCGGTGCAAGACTCCATCGCCGAGGCGGTGGATAAGCAAAAGCAAAACACAGACAAGAATGGAAGGGCAAACACTCTTTTATTTAATAAAGGTGATTTAGTCCAACTGTCTACGGTTAATCTACCAAAGCATGTAGTGACTAACGTGGGTAGCAGTAAACTTCTACCCAAGTACATCGGCCCATTTAGTGTATTGCATCGCCTAGGCAACGCATACACGATCGAACTGCCACGTACGATATGAACGCATCCCAAGTTTTACGTTGGTTGGCTTAAGCCGTACCATCAGTACGCTGTTTCTACCGATAAAGAACGCCTTTGCGCTCAAGCATCTCACAGAGAGCCTTGTGCTCCCGACGGTGGATATCAACAAGGGTCTGAAGAGCAGTTATCTCAGCCCGAAACCGGTCAACATTTTTACGAGCTACCCTTAGCTCGTTACGTAGAGATGTTGAAGCTCTCTCGTTCTCAAGCTGAGCAAAAGCATACTAATCTCAATGCTTCAAGACAGTGTCTGCCAGTTGGAGACGCCTGTCCCGCTCATATTAGAGATCGCCGCGTAACGCTTGCGTTACGAAATCAAAGAAGCTCTCGGGAACACACGCTTCCCCACGATTGTTTGGAGAGCGTCTTCCCTCCTCCTCCTCCTTTGGAGGACTCTCGTGGTGGCCAGCGCTATCTGATTGAGCGGCTGTTGAACCACCGCGACGTGAACGGACGTCGGACGAGTTACCTCGTCCGGTGGCGCGGTTATCCCCCGTCCTGGGATACTTGGGAGCCCCGCTCCCAACTGATGATTGACGTACTGGGCCTGGTCGAGCAGTACGACGCGGCACATCCTGTGCTGCAGAAGGGTCGCCGGAGAAAGTCTCCCCGGCACGGTGGTAAAGAGATTTCAGGTTGTCAATCCCTTCGTGCATCTCAGTAGAGATACGTACGCGCCACCACGGGATAGTAAGGAGGTAAGCCTCCTTAGGTGCGCGCGCTGAGTTGTTTACACAACAAGGGCACAGGTCTCCCCAGGAAAGACAGAGTAACCCACCCTCCTTAGACAGACGATACAGCTTATAGCGTGCAAATATCGGGGTTCTTTTCTTAAACTTATCACGAGATTCGATAAGTTTGTCGTTCCAAACGTCACGACCTACGTCCTCAAGGTTATGGATGTAAGCGTTCCACGCTTGATGCAGTGAGGGACCATCACGTTTGTGATTCCCACTGTACCATCGATGTTTAAAGAAAGCATCGATGAAAAACTCATGTTCAGTGCGATAGTTTTTCGCACCGGGGTCAAGGTGATGGATCCTTGACGAATCAAATAATCGTGTTCGATAGCGATCACTTGTCGTCGCCGACAAGCGATCCATGACTGACTTTGGAGGCAGCCATGCCTTCTTTTCGGGATCGAGACGCAACACACTGCGGTCCCGCTCTTCTTGCGACGTGACGACATAAGTGCTGGTACCTCGCTGCGAAGTGGTGTCAATAGGAGAACCGACACCACTGTGAGCGCCCGAGTCTTGCGATCTCGAGCGCCTTCGCTCTGGCGATGGTTCATCTGATTCGTCAGATGAACCAAAGATGCTACGACGCGTAGCATCATCCACACCACGCTTGGCAGGCGGCTTAGATTCAACCGCCTTCGATACAGATCCCTCTTACGTATCAGGAGAGTTTGAGACACCGAGCTCATACTCTGTGAAGACATAAGTGTCTTCATGACGAGCGCCTATATCAGCAGGTGTTACAGGCTGAGACGCTTTAGCAACCGATGACACATCGGTTGCAGCGGTTTCTGCTTCGGCGTCTACACAGAGACGTGCAGACGCGCTCTCAGCGGCCTTGTTTGTGCACCGCATGGACTTGTTAACCAATGCGATGAAACTGTTGGAATGTGGACTCGGACCAACAAGTGCAAACCCTGTCCCAAATGATTTGGGACGAGTATCCATTTAGTCAATCAGTCACTAAAGTGACTGATGGTTAGGGGGGGTGATGTAACGGGGTGAATCGTTACATAACAATTTATAAGAAATTGTTAATAGAATGTAACTATAAGAGTTATATTCTCAGAATATTGTCATAAGGAAAAATATTCTGTAGCACTTACGAGTAGTTCCTAATTGGTTGATATAGGCCATTATATCAACCAACGAAGACGCGCCACGACAGACGCACGCAATGAGTGGTGAGCAGATAGTTGATATACACATTTGTATTCAGACATAGTTAGATGAGGATAAACAGTGGTCTATTAACTGACATTAACTATGATAAATACAGTTCTACTTTTTACTTTAACCAAGTACTCGTTTCTTCTTACCTTCTTCCTCTGCACGTACCAGTGTATGTGAAGTTACGCGGTACCGCCTTATTCTGTCATCAGGATAAGTAGCTTGTACTGTCATCAGTACAAGCTTGAGGGTGCCCCGTTACACAGCTGATCTGCATGCATGCGCAATTGCTCTTCACCATCTTCATCGCCACCATCACTGTCTTTTTCGTCTTCTGCTTTCTCCGTTTTGCATTCCATCTTTTCAATTGAGACATGCGATTATTCTTGTAATGTTAAGTTCTATTCAAAGCTGCGTGTGACCGTCTTGTCGATTTGAATATTGATATGAGTGTTAGGTATTAAGGATCCAGTATTGTGGCCTTGAAGTACTTTATATGGAAAAGTTGATTGAAATAGTATAAAATCACTGGACGTAGATGAGTTCTTATCCAAATACTTTTAATTTTGGACCAATTGTGTTCGCCTGGGTCACCAGGTGATGCTACATAGTCATAACAAAAAGCATATTGATGAGAACTCGTCTACGTCTAGTGATAATATACTATTTCTACTAACTTCTCCTGGCTTGCGAGGAAATAAAAAAGAAGGTAAGTATACTTGGCAGCTAAATATAAACCGATGACAACATTTTACTACATGTGTCTGCTTAAAAAAAGAAAAAGGGTGTGAGTCTAAAAACTCCTATCAATATTTACAGCTCATTTCAAGTGTTTACTTGACGAAAAAGGGAGTGAATCTAACCAAGAAGGGCGTGAATCTAACAATTCCCAAAAAATAAATAAGATCTATGTGAAGGTCAGTAACCAGACCCCCCCCCCCTCCCTATACGAGGTCAATGTGGAGACCAGCTTGGATAAATACGCATCCGCCAGCATGAGCAGGACGAAAGCAGGTACCGCTCAAGTCACCGAATCCACCTCTGCTGATGGCAACTACGATCAGTTTCATCCTTTGGACATCTTAAATCTGATTGGCAGACCCGACTTCATTGCCCCTTGCTCTCGTCCCACTCCTTTCTGTAGGCGCGGAACCAACTGAGCTTGGATCTGCCCTACGATTTCCTACCCGTTATGGTATGGACATCAGTCAGTGGACACGGATACATGCCAATTTAATGTCGGGGGACAGCCGGGACCGTGCTGCGTCCGAGACAACTGCTGTTCGCCTCTTCCAAGGTGCCAGTGGCATCAATCGGCTCATTGAAGGTGCCCACCCGATGCTCCACCCGTCTCCATGAAGTGTGCTGGAGAGAAGAGCGTCGGTGGCTAATGCCGATGTATGGAGGACGCTCATGCGGCGAGCGTTTCAGGTCATCGAAGTCTCCTGCGTTCAGCCTCTAATTGTGGCTGCGCTGCTCTGACCCGAAGGCGACCACGGATAGATGGCAATATGCCGCATCAAACCAAAGGCCTTCGCATATTTAAGACCACGTATATGGGCTCACAGATTATCAGCTCTGAACCTGATATCGCATATTGACACCATTATCTGTACCATTCCGTTCGCACGCTGGACAATATCTGCTGTGAGTTACTTCGCGGGAAGGGTTGCAAAGAGACTGTGGTGCATATTTGTGGAATTCCCCATCGCACAAACGTGTTGGAGTCAATGAACCAGCCACTGGGCTTGGAAGTGCGCGACGTACCTCGTAATTTGTAACCAATTTGGCCACTGCTCCAATCGCCAAGCTCCGCCCATCCCACGCCGGTTGAGTCTGCGGTTGCACAACCATTTCAAGGTAATGCCGACGCTACCAATATAGGTTTTCGACGCGTAAATTCTTGCTAAGCTCCTTTTACAAAGAACGTTTATGGAGCGAGCTTGATGCAGCGGTTTTATTAGGAGGCCCGTGTTCTCCATTGGCGAGTTTTAATACGTACTGGGAACATGGTGTTGTCAGCTGAAGGCCATTACAATACGTAAACATTGTGCCGTGGCTACTGCTGTGCATGGTGTCCGCTCTCATGCTGCCTTGAATTATTGACTCAAGAGCCATGCGATTACCCGTCATACGCGGGAGTCAGCCACGATCCGCTGCTATAAAGGCGCCATTTCGTGGCTCAGGATTAATCAGGCATCTTGCGCACAATAAACATATAAACAAACGATCATGAAACTCCTCTTCCTACCCCAACCTTCATTGCTTCTCGTCTGATCCTGTGTATTTCGTTTTGGGTCTATCACGGTTCGGCACCCGCATTTCGTGACTTTGAACCACATACATCGATACGATAGCTCCACGAAGGCAAAGCAGGGCAAATATTTGCTCACGTGTTGTATCCACTATAGCTAGGCTTGCTGTCTGCCGAGCATTTAGGAAAAACTCGTGGTCCATGAGTTTTGCCTCTACGTTGGTAAGCCCCAAGGAATAACTAACCTCAGCTAATGCTTTACGTGTGCACTTCGAGCCAGCATTTGTGCTAGTCGGTGGACAGAAACCATGGGTGAAGAAATCCGGTAAAACGCTTGAGGCTTGCTTTAACAAGCTCCATGCAATGCTAGGATTACATGTTACAGATAGTCCACCTATGTTGGTTAAATACGATATTGTTTAAGCGGAACATGCACTCATTCTTCCCGTGGAATTCAGACGGAGTAGTACGTCTCTAGAGCGCGACGCCCGGTCGTGACCGTGAGCCCCTGGCAAAGTGGCTGAAGAAGTGAGAAGCAAGGTAGCTCGGGGACAAAACAATCTTAATAAACAAGATCGAGACGCTTTTATTCACAATGTCTTGTCATTCGTTGTGGGTCAGTAGTGGTTTGCGATCGTTACCAGCTGCAATTCCGTTGTGCAGCCTCTAGCGGTAGGTAGCAGGCATCCGAGAATGCATGGATCTACACCCGGGTATGCGGCATCACCCTTGACGCAAACCTGTATCGACCGGTTCAGAGTTTCATTGTATTATTTGTGCGGCTTTAGGGGTATAGGTCAGCGTTAGTATCGTGCCATGACAGTAGAGGAGGAGCTGTAACGTTCTGAGACCTACCAATGGGTCACATTTTATTTACAGGAGAAAAACCGTCATGAATAGAAAGTTCAATCTATCACCGTGTGAATACAACTGTAAAACGGATCCGAGCACTCAAACTTGAAGCGCAATCATCAAGTTACAAATGGCACGGTCTTGGAAAACAGCAACGCCAGCTCCAGCCATCCATCAAGTTCTTTTATCCGAAAGGCCAAGCTCTAATCAACCTGTGCTCAAAGGCGCCATCGTTAAAGGGAACATGCGCATGGCCCCAGTCGACTGCGTTTAATGCACGGCGGGCATCTTCCGTCATCTGCTCCCACGTGATCAGGTCCTGAAAGCTACCACGCTTATGAGTGAACTGGAGCTCGTGATTCTTCGGCCAGGAGCTAAAGTAATTGACCTTGACACTCGAGCCGTCCATTGTTACCGGATCAAGTGGCACTCGGAACAAGTATCCATCGTGGGACGACACCGACACTCCCAGAATCGTCGGATTTTCCATAGCAGGGTCGTCGATCCAAACGACAACATGCTCCCAGTCGTGACGGTGGCCCAGTTTTGGGGACGGTGAGTCTTTTGGGAAGTACCATGAGTACATAAGGGCCCATTTGTCGCGGAACAAACGTGCACGCCCGTAGACTTGAGACCCCCACCCGGATCCTTTGCATTTGCCACTGGGGGGTCCTTCGACAGCGAGGCCGCGGCTAGTGCTACCCTCCCAGTCTACGGCAGGATACGGGCGGCACCCATGACTGATGTGAATTTGTGGTTTGAATTTGAGGCACGCTTTATCGGACGGAGTGACGGGGTCCACCACCTGAGCAAACGGTCTCACTTGGTCGTGATCGAGAGGTTTCACTTGCCACGGCCCCGGCTCCACCAGAGCGGGTTCGGGTTCGGGGGCCGGAGCGGGTTCGGGGGCCGGAGCGGGTTCGGCGGCCGGAGCGGGTTCGGGGGCCGGAGCGGGTTCGGGGGCCGGAGCGGGTTCGGCGGCCGGAGCGGGTTCGGGGGCCGGAGCAGCAGTCGAATCGGAAGTTGACCCAACAGTCGAATTGCACACAGTTGTCGAACTCTTGATCTCGTTGCACTCTTTGTTTATGGCGTCAAGTATCATGCCCTCCAACACTTTAAGTCCTTGGCCACCCCCCTGCTGGACTGGGTCTCGTGGAGAAGCAAAGGAATCAGATAGCGAAGCCGGTTTTTCATCCTCTTGTGTGTCTGGAGGCCCTTCCAGGCTGGAAAAGTTCAGGTGTGGTCTTGAATCGTCGACCAGCTCTTGGGCTTGAACCGCAGCAGCCGCGAACAGAGCGACACAGAACATGGTTTCGGTCTTCATTGTCACCGGTACTCGTGTCTTCTGGTGGAAGAATTCTAAAATAAAGGAATATGGAAAGCTGTCGAATAGTACGGCCCGGCACAACGTCCAATTGAATCGGTTAACACTCGTCGTTCCCTGCCCGAATGCTTAGCAGGCTCTTTTCGAATCATGGCTGGCATGTAGCGCACTGTACAGCTCTGACTTACTTCCCAATCACCATCCCGCTGCAACAACGGACAGAGACGAGACCCTCCGAGGAGCCAGGAAACTGGATCCCTTTCCCTGGGCAGAAAGTCCCCCATAGTGGGTCTAAGGTAAAAAGGGGGAAAGGCTTCTCCTCACTGCGTGCGGCTACGAGGTGATGACTAGGGATTACGTCAAGATGGCTCGCTGGGACTACCCTGGTGGTAACGGGAATCCTAGCCAAGCGTCCTCTGTCCCCTGAAATTAAATTTCTCCGAGAACGAGAGCAGCTCCGCCATCCGGTAGAGTGCACACAAGAATCTAACCCCCGACTTGGTCAACGGATGGTTTCCACGGGCCCTTTTGGGAGTGCCCCGCCGTGAAGCCCGAAGTCTTGAGCCAGGATAATGAGAAAGCTAGGAGTAGGAGGACTGTGTCATGGTAGAGCACACGAGGTAGTCACCACACAACCAGACATTTTATTCGTGAATAGTGCAGCGCTGACTTGATGCGTATGGTGATATTTAACATGAAGCGTGACACACACCATAGAAAAAGGTCAGCTATGCGACGCAGCCGCAAACGATGGACAGCCCCAAGTTGCGGGATGTGAGTGTGGCTGTACAGAACCCACGCATTCGTGTACAGCCAGGGGTCCGTCCCGCAACGTCCCATCCCACGGGATCCCGCATCTGTCCTGCGCGGGACGGGAAGCAGGATGAGCCAGTCCAATCCCGCGCAGGACAGATGCGGGATCCCGCATTCGATGATTATTTTAGTTATTTACGTCGAGATTCTTTAAATTTCCTACGATCATTAAATTCTAAGGGAGAAGAGATCGTAAAAAAGAGTCATCTACTTTTGTATGTACTCCTGTCTGCCAAGGCATGCTCCAAGCACTATACATACTGTTAAAGAGGATATGCAACGGGGCACCCTTTGTCTGGGTGCCGCGAAACTTCACGTACACTAGTACGTGCAGAGGAAGCTAATCTACTTGAACGACTCGGTCAAGTAAAGGTAAAAAGAGGACTGTATTTAATATAGTTAAGCTATCAATATAATTTAAATCTTTAGCTACCTGCATTAATCTACGTCGTCGAATGAGGACAACCTGCTCACCACTCGTTGCGCGAGTCTAGCAGCGATTGGTGGCAATCTATGCTTGATTTGTCGCTTATCAACCGATCGTTGAGCAGCGCATGCATCTTATTCTAAAAGGGGATCATATTCCTTCAATATTATCCATCTCGGATAACATTGGTAGAATATTGTCGTGCTAGACAATACTTCTGTTGACACCGTTTGGTGTCAATATCATGTAACAAGCTACCCCGTAACATCACCCCCCCCCCTTAACCATCAATCACCCGTTGATTGAATCAGAATTGATTGGGACAGGGTGACCAGTGTTGGATCACTCTGGGAAAGGGAGCACTTGTTGGTCAAATCCCATTCATTTGCCAATCCAACGCATGGTTTCAAAAACCACGCGAGCTGCTACTGCAGCAGCAAGAAGAGCGGCTGCACGCATGCGTGCGGCCACGGAAAGTGCCTCTCACGCCTCAGCAGCAGGCAATTCGTTGCCTGTTGTCGTGAATCCTCCACGTGGTATGTCACCACGTGCGACAGGTACATCCGTTGCGTCTGTAGCGGGTGCCTCGGGTTGTAATCAAGACGAGTCTGAAATAGACCTCATCTATTCTGGCGAGTCGGATGATGTATTCGACCCGAAGGCGACACCTCACGCCTCCGGCAAACCCGGGGCGGACACTGCGAGAGCCAGGTTGACTGGCTCTGGTCAACGCGGCGGTATTATGACCGAGATCTTCGGATCGAGCGATTATTCCGACGAATCTCCGCCTCACGCAAGTCCATCCAACGATAGGACGCATGGGGATAGTGGTGATGCACCTGTCCATCACTTCGAGCGAAGTAACTCGAGGGATCGAGGTGTCACTGGTGCCAGTGCTCGTGCTGGCACCAATCAAGAGGCTAGGGACTGAAATGTCCTGCGCCACGCTCCTCAAGTGGAGTCTCCGTGGATGCCGCCATCCAGAGAGTTGGACCGGTTGGCCGGCATGAATACCAAACGGTATCGAATCCCGTTGTTCGACTGTAGAAAGATTTGCCCCTCTGATTCCAGCACGGAAACTTTCCGTGCTGAGGAAGAGTTCTTCACCGATGCGTTCTACAAACATCGGTGGTACAATGGTAGCCGTGTTCGAGATGCCAAAGCTTTGCTGCAGGGATGGAATGCCCTTATCCATACCATCGAGTGCATTGGCCATGAGGCCTGGCTCGCCAAACTTGATGCATCTCGTATCAGGTTTCAAAAGTAACCCCGTCGGGGCGCAATACCAATCGCACCGACTGCCAAGAGAGGCCGTGTTACCCTGTATCTCGTGGGGTGATTCGTGTCCAGGTTTCCTGGACAACTCGAACCGTGCCCCTAGGGACCCCTCCCTCCCCAATGATCCCTACTGGAGGGCGCGCATATCTTCCGAGATGACCGAAGGGATTGACACCTTGCAATCCCTGTACTCGCGTTCGGGGAGGTCGTTTTCCGACGGCCCTTCTTCAAACGCAGAGGGTGGGACTCGTCGTGCTGCTCAACGAGACCAAGGACATCAACAATCAGCTGAGAACGAGGCTCCCAGCTGTCCCACGCCGGTGGATAGCCACGCCAGCGGGCGAGGTAACTCGTCCGGACGCCATTCACATTGCGGTGGTTCAAAATACGCTCCACTAGAAAGCGTTGACCACCGTCTGAGTCCACCAAAGGATATGGTGGCGGTGGGAACACCTGATCCGGCTCGAGGGTCGGATCAACTTGATGCTCAAGGGCTGAACCGTCTAACGGAATAGTTACACGATGACTTGGCTCATGAACGGACTCGGCGTTATGAGCTTCATGACATTTTCAAGGATAACTACAATTCCTTAGCGCACGAACGTTCGAAAGATCGTGCCGCTATTGCGTTCGCGCTGCTTGAATACGAACGTTCGGTTCATTTTCTACGGGAGCAGGTCGCTTTGCTAGTCTACCAGACTGGCTCGTTGAAACGGGGCCACTCGAAGGTGGTCTCGGCCTTGACTGTAGAGGTGTTCTTCGCATCTCGAAACGGGCTCGTACTGATAGTACGGGCGGAGACGTCCAACGTAAGCGTAGAATGCGTACGCATCTTACGGGGCAGTTCAATCGTGTGTGAGTTGCCCATTCGTCGCAACGCACAAAATGGATCGATGTGCTTCGGCAGTAATTTACTGCTGCCCACGTTTGTCACTGCGTGTTTTGGTAGTTTTACTGTAGACACAAAAACAAGGTCTCCTTCATCAAATGAAAGAACATTTGCTCTTCCATGTTTGTCTGCGTTTCTTTCTGCTTATCTAGTGCATCTGCAATAGAGTCTTGAACGAAGCGGACAACCGCTTCGCGAGTCAGCAGAAATTCCTCTGCTGGTTCATCCTTGTTAACAGCAGTGCGCTTCGTGTGCACTGCTGAAAGAACGTTGTCTTCACCCGTGAGGGTGTCATCGTCCTCACTTTTGCGGTCGTTGGCGATGCTGAATATGTCAGCATCGTCGTCATCGTCATCATCGATATCGATCCCATTGACATCGGCATCCATCACGTCGACACCACTGTCGACGGGTGATGAGTAAGAACCAGATCGGTTTTTGTGCGAGCGAGTCCACCCTCCTTACACTAGAATCACACTCGGAGAAGGCGGGTAAACGTGGATGGTGTAGGCCATTCACGAAGAACGATGTATGCGTTGTCGAAGCACACACCGATTTATTGATGGCGAATTCCGCCATCGGCAAGAACTCACTCCAACTCGTAAACGAGTGGACATACCCTCGAAGTATCTCTTCGAGGACGCGGTTGACGCGTTCCATCTGACCATCTGTTTCTGGATGGTCAGAAGCTGACATCGTCGAACGTGTTCCAAGTGAGCGGAACACGGATTGCTGGAACTCCGCTGTGAAGCGAGGGTCCCTATCAGGTACGAGTTCACGGTGTAAAACGTGAAGTCGGAAAGTATCGATGAAGACGCGCACACAGCCGTGGGCTGTGATTGACTCCGGTACAGCAACAAGATGTACCATCTTGCTAAACCGATCAACAAACACAAGAATACCAGTATTCTTGTGAACGTCTTGGGAGCCCCGAAGACGAAGTCCATCGATACGGACTGCCAACACTCTGCCGAAATCGGAAGAGGCTGCAAGGGTGCGCGGGATCAAGGGCTAGGCTTCACCCGTTGACAAACTTCGCAAGCGCGAATGTATTTGCGCACAAAATCATACTGACGGGGCCAGTAGTAGTCACGACTCACTTTGAGGTAAGTCTTTTCCCTGCCGCGACGCCCACTTGGTGGGGCATCGTGACACTCATGCATGATGTGCAATCGCAAATTATCATGAGAGGGAACGACAGCACGAGGTTTGTCGCCGTTGACTGCTGTTTAGTACAGCAGTCCATCACGAACAGAGTACCGTTCGGTTGAAGAGCGGTATTGAGACGGCAAGCTTTTCAAAGCTTGACTGCACAGATTGGATACGTGATCCATCCATCGCAGAAGAGACTCATCTTCTGCGTATGCTTTTCGCACGTCGTCGAGAAGATTCGACGACGGAACACTCACTGTTAGTGTTGCTACAGTGGTATCACCCCTACTGTTGGGCTGAGCAGTCGGCTCGAAATCGGGCCGACGCGAAAGAGCATCAGCGACGACCTTAAGTCGTCCTGGTTTATGCTCGACGGAGAAGTTGTACTCCGCGAAGATATACAGGCCCCTTGCCATTCGTTGCGAGAGGTGTAGACTATTTTACGGCCGTGCGTAACGACGCGTGGTCGGTATAAACGATGAAAAGTCTATCTCCTAAGAGATATAAACGAAACTTAGCCAGTGCATATTTCATGGCAAGAAGTTCCTTGTCATGTACCGGGTAATTACGCTCAGCTGCTTGCAGCTGACGCGATTGATAACAGACGACGCGCACTACGCCGTCTGAGTCGTACTGCATTAACGCGCAGCCGATTGCAAAATCGCTGGCATCACAGACCACATGGAATGGTCTGGCCTGATCCGCAATCGCCAACACAGGCGATTGCACCAAGCTTTTCTCGATGCCTTCAAAAGAGTGCTGACACTCAGCACTCCATGACCACCTATCGTTTTCCTTTAGTATACGAGAGAGGTGTAAGGTCATCTCGGCATAGTTGCGCGAGTACTTGTGCAAGCACGCCGCCAAGCCAAGGAAATTTCGAAGTCCCTTGACGTCGACTGGCACAGGCCAGTCGTCAATTGCCTTGATCTTTTCCGGATCAGGGCGTACACCGTTTTTACCCACGATGCAGCCAAGAAGTGGTATTTCGTTCGCTGCGAGTGTACGCTTCTTGAGGTTCGCGAACAATTTACGCTCTCGCATTGGAGTAAGAACCTTCCGGACGTGGATTCTATGGACCTCCACATCCGTCTTCCATCCATAGCCCGGCTATGGACAAAGACATCGTCAAAATGACTCGGTACGAAGTCGCGCACCGATCGCAACAGATTCGTAACACATCTGGTAAATGTTGCGAGGGCATTACTTAGCCCCTGTGGCATCACTATCCACTCCCAGAGCATACCACTGGGGGTGCTCACTGCTGTGTACGGGATATCCCGTTCACGCTTGAGAATCTGATAGAATCCATCCATCAGATCCATGGATGAAAAGATGGTACTTTTTGCCATACCATCAATGATGACGTCCTTCCTCGGTATCGGCGTTTGAGCCGGTACCGTTGCAGCGCTCAGTTTGTTGAACGCGTGCACTATCCGCCACCCTCCTGTGGCTTTTCGCGCACAGAAGGTCGGATAGCTGTGTGGTGATGTTGATTCCCTCACATGACCAGCCACTAATTGATCGGCAAAGAATTTGTCGATCGCTGTGACATGTTCACGAGGCAGTGGCCACTGCTCCTGACGCAGTACTTCGAGCCGGAGTTTATTCAGTTCGATTTTTCATGCCGAGTGCCTTTGTCTTTGGGCAGCTCGTATGGCACGGTTTCAGGGAAAACATCCCTGAATTCAACCAAATCCTTATACAAAGGATTTGTCTTCAAAGACTCCCAAGATCGAGACGTGTATCGCTCGATCCGGGTCTTCTCATCGAGGACACTCTCGTCCATCGGTGAGCTACTGAGAAATCTTTCGTTCTCAGCAAACACTTGTGCCGACCGAATATCGGCGACGTACTCGTCCTCTGTGACGAGTACGCAGATCTGCTTGATCTTTTCACAACGCAGATCTCGCAAGAATCTTTTAGATTCTAGCGTTGGCAACTTGACCACCTCCGAAGCTGACTTCGGTGGCGTCATCAGATCAAGTGTATAAGCGCCTACACTTGATCCGTCATTCACCAAGACATTCACAGTCTCGGTGTTTTCCTGGGAGAACAAATCCGCAGGTGGTTGAGGAGCAAACCCTCAACATAACTCTCTCGGAAGTTATCACTCTCAGGAACGCTGGATTTTTCTACCATTACGTGTACTATCACGGTCACGTCCTCTTCGATTGACTCTCTTTCAGTAGATCGGGCTTGCTCTACGATCAACTCTCTGATAGTCGATCTCGCTTCAACGTGTTGTCCATCCTGAACAACACTAATCTCTCTTCTTGGATGCACCCTTCTTGGTGTGCATCTGTGTTCCAGTCCACTCGATCTCTTCGGGTGATGAACCTTCGGCGCAGCCTGTGTCTCTACGCAGGTGCCGGAAGCTGGTTACACAGTGTAGTGGCCTTCAACACTGTGATCTTGTGCAGTCACACTAACGACCGTACCACAAGTGAGGCCATCGCACTCACTCGTAGTACAACCACACGCTTGTGGACGCTCCAACACGTTCATCAGATGGCCATACGATGAGCAAACGGCAGGCACCTTCACGGATCGATGCTGCCAGCTAAGCCACGGCTGGTACTTTCTAAGCCATGGCAGACCAAGGATGACATCAAATTTATCAGCCAAATCTAATACGATGAAGTCATCATCGTACTGCTTTCCTTTTAGCGTGCAGTGGATTCCCACGACACGTTTTATCACTGTTACGGATGCGCCTGTAGCAAGGCACACCGTCATCCTCGTTAGAGGGAACTCTCGCTCAACATAGTTGAGCCTACTATACCCTAGCGACTGGCGTCGAATAAAACGGTTCGACTTCCCACAGTCAACTAGGGCGCGAAGTGACATTCCACGTGTCGCTTCGATCTTCAAAGTGATGAGAGACTCTTCATCACTAGGGGCAGTAACACACAGCGACTGCGTGTTGGGAGCATTCTTTGTCAAGAGTCCTGCAAAATCTCTTGACCTTGCTGGATCAGCAGGGTGGTCGGACCCACGCCTTGGACCTTTCCTCGGCCAACAGCGGTCATCACGTCCTATCTTTGAACGTGTTGCAGTGCTCGGGACGCTACACTCATGAGCGTAGTGTCCAATATTCTGACAGCGATGGCATCTTGCCGTTCGCTTGTGAATCAGAGAGCAAGAGCTCTCTCTTTCGATGTTACAGGGGTACATTGGTTCGGGACCTCCTGTTTCCTGCCGCCTTGTCGGACGATAGTTGGACGAGTTAGCCTGAGACTGTCTCAGGCTGACGTCTTCTTGTTCCGCATACGCTATTGCCTTTTCCAGCGTACGGAAATCCTCTCGGAACATTTAGGACTTCACCTGCCCATCCACAAGGTCGTAGATTAACACGTTGATGAGCGTGTGCTCATCAACAGAATTTTCCGTAACGCTACTCGCAAGGTAGCACAGGTGCTGTGCGTAAGCGTGCACGACACGCTTAACTTGCGTGAGCCTTAGAAGTGCAGAGCGTACTCTGAACTCGGCTCGTGCCGACACAAACGTCTATTTGAGCCAAGACTTCAAGATCTCCAATGACTTAAACACGTTTGAGTCGTGAAGCTTGAGCCCTAAGGCCCAGGTCTTTGCTCGTCCTGTCAAATTTGACAGGGAGAAGTTGACTTACATCTCATCACCCTCGATGTGACGGGCCCTGATGACGTCGTCTAACTCGACGAACCATCTCAAAAGGGAATCTTGATTGGTTCCCTTGTACCTTGAGATATCAATCTTCAAGGTTTCGGGTCAAAGCATGTGCGTCGGCCCACCCATCGACTGATGAGAGCCTTGCTGTTGAAGCAATTCTATCTTCTGTCTTTCGACGGCAAGTTCCCCTTGTAGGAACTTGTTGGTAGCAGCATGTTGCTGGTCTCTGCTTAGAGACTCCAACATTCCACAGATGGCGGGCTCGTCCATGAGCACACTCATGCAGCCGACTACCTCTCATTCTGAGTCACTCAGATATGAGTAGCTTTCACGTGTAACGCTAAAACTGTCGTCTTCTACGTCCATCATGTTCATGTTGGACGGACACTAAGTAGTCGTTGGACGGACTACGAAGTGCTACCAGGTGTAACGGGGCACCCTTTGTCTTGGTGCCAGGAAACTTCACGTACACTAGTACGTGCAGAGGAAGCTAATCTACTCAACAGATATGTTGAGTAAAGGTAAAAAGAGAACTGTATTTAACATAGTTAAGCTATCAATATAATTTAAATCTTCATCTGACCATATTAAACTACGTCGTCGAATGACGACAACCTGCTCACCGCTCATTGCGCGCGTCTAGCAGCGATTGGTGGCAATCTATGCTTGATTTGTCGTTTATCATCCAATCTTTGAGCAGCGCATGCATATTATCAAAGGAGGATAATATTCCTTCAATATTATCCATCTCGGATAATTTTGGTAGAATATTGTCGTGCTCGACAATACTTCTGTTGATACCGTTTGGTGTCAATATCATGTAACGGACTACCCCGTTACACGCACTGTGTTGTTGACGGTGTTACTGAGCCGCATCCTCCGCGTTTCTCTTTTATACTCGTCTGCTTAGCAAATCGATAATATCAACGAACAGCTTGAAAGCACACGATCCACCAGCCCTCTTTCTGATCACAAACGCACCCATTTCCTAGCCGCTTAGCACTGGTAATGGAACGTGAATATGTAGAACTTGATTCTGTTGCTTGAGCTGATTTACTCATATGAAAGGGCGAGCTCCAGAGCTTGCTCCCCTACCTTACATGATGCGTGTCAGTACACTGACCATATAAAAGTTAAGAGGTTTGTCTGTACAAAGAAAATAGTGCGTCTACATGATTAACAACGTGGACACCTGGTGTAAATGTTGTAGGGGTCGAAACGTAACGTTACAGGGTGACTTGCAGGTATCAGTGCAATGATAAATAAAAATCATCCATCACTGCCACGGCCTGCAAGTGGCTATATCAGCTTATGGTGCTTGGTTGATGGACGATCCCTATTTATAATTGCACTGATACTAACGCTTGATGCGCACAACGTGAGGCGTCGGACGTGACGTTGATGTACCAAGTGGCCACGTTTAAGATGACGTAAACAAACTCTTTGGAGTCTGCTTTTTATTGACGATGTAGTTGTAGGGGTTCGACACGAATCTGCGACGGCATCTATCCTAACGAAACTGCACACAGCAGTCGAGTACGTTGTTAGCTTCCTGTCGGCTATTGCTGCTACGGCTGCTTGCCACCACGTCCTTTCTATCTTTCTCACTCTTGTCCTCTCGCCTTTCTCCGTGCCTGGCAACCGACGACCGTCGTTAGATAGGAAAAACTTGCATCGTTGAGCTAGCTTCATTGCCACGTCGTCAGCTCGAGCTCGCACCCGTAAATGCGCTTAGACCATGGGCGCCCTGCACCTCTGCTTGTGAGAGGTCTTCCACGCTTGTTTCTGGCAATCAATGCCACAGTATCTTACAGCCTTGCAGCGCGAGCACATGAGCGTCGATGGCTCCTTGCACACGCGGCAGCGCAATGACGCCTCGCGTCTGTCCAGCATCGACTTTTCAAAGCTTCAATATCACACAAGAAAAAGCAGCGTTACTACACGTTGTCAACCCCAGCGACAGAGCCACACAGTAGAGTGGCAAGAAAGGGAGAGAGAGAAAGAGAGGAAGCAGATAAAGATGAGGGTGGAAGCGTACCCGAGCTTCTTCAGGTCTCGCCACGTCTCGAGAGGCTCGGCACTAGACTGCGTATGGTACATGTCTTTGAAGCCCTTGAGCGTCAGTCCCTGGTTCTCGTCACACTCGAAATACGTCTGGATCTCCTTGATCTCCTCGTCGGAGAAAGCTCTGCCTCCGTTGCACATCCTGCTAAAGTCCCGGAGCTTGTCCAGCGTCAGACTCCGGTCCGTTGAGTTGTCCAGAAACGAGAGAAAGACCTCCGTCAGCACGGCCTCGAAGTCGTACGTCAAGAGACCGTCCTTTCCAATGAGCGCCGCGCGTGCTTGGCTCTCCGTCATGTTCAAGTACATGAGTTGCTTGTTCTTCCTCGGGGCCATGGTTAGTAGTATGAGAATCGACCAAAGAATCGGCGCGGGGCAAGAGGAGCGGGGATATGAAGTGGGTGAGTGGGTGTCTGACCAATCGCAAAGTGCTCCAAACGTGCCATTGCGCGCACACGTACGTACGTACGTGGGTGGGTGGTACCTGTGAGACTTGATGCTTCGTCATCGCATTTCAGCAAATCAAATAGAGCGAAGTACTTCAGCTATTGCATGAGCAGCCAATACTGACTTGCAAAACGGACCCGCTGGTGAGTACTGATTGGCGGAAACTAAATCTTACGACCGACGCTACGAAAGAGCCAGTGTCGTGTGCTAAACATAAGATGCCGCGTGGCACCCTACATGTAGATCGTCGTGACGAGGTACGACTACTGTGTCGCCCAACGTGAGCGCAAGCATTTCTCGTCAGCTTTCGCCACCGGGCAAACCAGATACAGTCGTTGAGATGCATGCATTTTGTAGCGGGGTTCTTAGTGGACAACTCTGGCGTGGCAACGCTTGACGTTTGTTTGTGCGTCTCTGCCGGTACATTCCAGTCATGTCTAGGATACCGTGACGTGTGGATTTCGATTCGTCCAGCCTGCTACAGTCAGTCAGTCACTGGCCAGACAGAGTCTAGACCGTGTGCACCCTTTGGTTGGGTCATGGATGTCTGTCTGTCTATTGCGCGTGAATGAAAAGACGCGATCGGGGCTTCGTCGTGTCCTCGCACGTCTTTCCCATGCCACGCACTTTTCTACCAATCAATGCGCGCGTGCAACGTGTGACTCTTCGATGGCATCATGCGTTTGTGCGTTTGTGGAGCACCAGCATCGTAGTAATTTTGTGTCAGCTTCTGTACAGAAAAAAGGACAGCGGCCACGGAGTCGGCGCTCATACTAGTGCCACAAACTCGAGACAAATCACCCCTCCTCCACCTCCTCCTTTTCCTTCTTCAACCCCGCACCCCATGAAACAACAGTAACAGCGCTGCGGCTCGTTTCGACCCATCCGCCTTCGTTCTCACTAAATCAGTACAACCTCGTCGAAAAGACTAACTAGTCAGCTCGTTGCGGTTGTTTGCTGACCCCGTTTCGCATTGGCTAAAACCCTGTCCGCACCATTCGTCCAATCACAGACAAGAATAGCTGCTTCTCCGGTCATCATCATCATCAGCAGCAGCACCACCACCAGCAGCAGCAGCAGCGGAACTCGTCTGACGGTCATACATGGACGAGGACAAGCGATTGTACCCGCTGTTGACGCGCTCAACCAATGGCGTAACCGCATCAAGTCGCTCGCGGCATGTTGTGCCGTCAAGTGGCAGCAGCTCCGGGAGCCGCTTCCCGTCCACCGAGCGCTCGCGGCAGTTGAACCTCAGCCAAGTGTCGACGCTCAGCGCCGTCTCCACGGGCTTTGACGAACTGAGTCGCGTATCCCGCTACTCGTCAGCTTCTTCGACTTCGTCGACGTACTCGGCCACGTCTTCAGCTGCTTCTTCCAGTGGCAGTGGCGGGGACCGCTGGGCGCCGCAGCACACGTCCAACTCGTGCACGTTGTGCCGCGAGAAGTTCTCACTTCTTCGTCGCTCCCATCGCTGTCGACGTTGCGGCTATTTGTTCTGTGCCAAGTGTTCAAGGTTCAAGGCCGCATTGACGGGTCATACGCACAAATCGAGGCTATGTGAGACGTGTTTCCCCAAGGTTTTATCGGGCAGCCAGCCGCCGATGAATGCGTTTGTGCACTCCAAAGCGTGGGTACCTCGCGGCGTGTTCACGCACATGTTGAGTTACTTGAACCACGTGGATCTGTGCTTGGCGTCAATGACGTGTCGCTTCTGGTATAAGCGAGCTCTGCTGGACATTACGTGGCGGCCGTTGTACATTAAGAGTTTTGGAGACGATGAAAGCAGTCCACAGCGCGAGTCGCTGGTGGCTTTTCAGCGTGAAGTACACGGCATTGGGTTCGAGAACTTGTCGTGGTATAATAAGTTTGCGATCCGCTGGACAGCGCGCAAAGCTGCGGAGAAGAAGAAGAGCTTCTTGGTCATGTCTAGCTTGCTGGCATCGCTGAAGCTTAGTAAGTACGCGCCGCTGTTTGAAGCTGAAGAGATTGACATTGAATCGCTGTGTTTGATGAATGCTGGTCACCTGCGTGACCTCGGCATTCCTTTCGGCCCTCGCATGAAGTTGCTAAATGCTGCAGCGTGTTTGGCGGACTTTAACGAAGACGACGACGAAGACGATGATGATCGACCGTCCATGGAGTCGAAGCCTATTACACCGGTGGCTCGATTCAAGCAGAAGCGTGCTGAGATGAAGCACTTCCGTGCAGGACTTGTCCGCCGCGTGCAGCAGTCGGCGGTCCGTGTTGCTATCCTGACCAACGAAGGAGAGCTTTGCAATGTAGGCTCTGGTATCATCATTCACGAGGACGGACTTATTGCTACTGCCCGGCATTGCCTCCAGGGTGAGCAGTTTGACTGTATCTACAGCGACGATTACATGATCCTGGTGGCGCCCACGGAATCTACGTCGCTGCCGCCATTATGGAAGTATCATGCACGTGTGATTCCTGAGTGTTGCAATGAGGAACTCGATTACGCTCTTTTGCGCTTGGACTGCGAGGTCATTTCAGATCCGCCCAGCGGACTGTACATTGGTGATGTGACGGACCGGACGATTGCGCGCAACTGGACAGTGACGAAACTAGAAGGCACGTGTCGAGAAACGATCGGCAGATTGCCAGCGGTGCGTATCGGCAATTCAAACAATGTCGAGCCAGGAGACGAAATGTGGATGTTTGGTTATCCGAGCAGCGGTCACAACACCATCACAGTGCATCATGCCATCTGCTCTGGAACCGACTCTCAAGTGTACGAGGGTGAAGAAGTTGACAAAGCGATGCTCCGCACAGCCGCTCAGCTAGACAATGGATTCAGCGGTGGAGCTGCCGTGGACAGGAAGGGTCTGCTTGTAGGTTTGATTTCCTTCAGCGTGTTGCGCCAGGATCGTGTGCGTGCTATCAACATGGTCAAAGGAGCCATTGAGTACGCAAAGCGCGAGTATAAGTTCTCATGACGTGTGTGGCCCTGGAGCCTCGAGCTGGTTCTGGCTGTAGCCATGTCTGTATAATTTTTCTTTCTGAAAATAGTCGCGAGCAAAAGAGTGCATGTGTAAGCAAGTCGTAACGTACGCAGTATTATTCACCGTGGTGGCTGTGTTTTGTTCGATAGCAAGAGATGGTCTCAAGCCTGGCCAATCAGAGCAGCGCTTGTTGTGTCACTGAAGTGAGGGGAATTTTGCGACCTGGAGCCACACCATTTTCAAACACAAGTGTCGACATCCGGTCCTGCTCTCGACGGGGACTGACTGACTGATTGACTGTGGCAATAGCTCTAGGGGTCGTCCATCGCACTTTGCATTGATACGAACATCGGATTAACCTTAATATGGACGAGAAGAGCGTGGAGCACGTGGGCGTGACGCTGTACCCGGCAGACTATGAGACCGTGGAGATGGTGACGGACCAGGGCAAGGAGATCATTCAACAGTAAACGAGCCAATCAAATGTGTCAAAATGGTTTTTCGCATTGATTTTTGACTCTGATTTTGCATACCGAATGATGTGTATTGCACGTCTAGGGAGTTCACGGATGCACAGCTGTTTGTGCACTCGATTCAAGAGCTAGAACGTGCTCGGACGGAGAAAAAGACGCAGAATAGGACAACAGAGAACGTAAAGAACAGTGTTGGTCGACGAGTGGATTGTGTCAAGACAGAGGATGATGATGACGCTATGGAAACGACTCCTGAGACTGTTGAAGGGACAGTAAGGGATACTGCTGACGACGGCGAAGAGGAGGTGATTGATCCGAGAATTCATTACCGTCCGATGGTGACAGAGCTTCAAGCGGCAGTTGCCGAGCTGCACCAGCTGATTAATTCGATCGATCTGATCCGTCGTCACGAATTTCTTGAAGAGATGCGTTGCATTCGAGAAAACACGGCACCTAAAAGAGAGGAACTAGAGCATCTCGTGGAGGCGAAATGTGCTCAGGTGAAGGAAAGTGGCACAATTTTGCTGGACGGAGTTGGAGCACTGTCTAGGACAGTGGAAAAAGAAAGTGTGTTTTTTCAGGGCGTTATGCAGATGCTGCGCAAGTGGAAAATATGTGCACCTATTCATGGCAACATTCCAAAACCATTTCGTGCAGGCGAACCACTTGCGGTGGACTGCAGCTACGGCAGCGGTGAGAGCATATATATTCGAGGTAAAATTTACCGGAATACTGGAACTGACTGCGCGTTGACATGCGTTTATCGTTAGCGGGCTCATTTTTCGTGCCACAGACCAGGTCCATTGCCGATCTTGCTTACGCCGAGGTACCATTGCGGTAATGGTAAGGAGAGGTTGTACTCTGCTAATCTTTTGGGGTTGTTGTTGTGTGATTCCTGCTAGTTGAGTCGTACGGAAAAGGGACTTGTACGTGTCAAGACACCTGAAGAGTTTTTGGCTCGTACGCTCCAGGTTTGTGATTGAATGAATGGATGGTGTACTTAACCATATAGTGTGTTCCTCATGGTAACACTTGACTCATTATGCTTGTTAGCTTACGCTGGAAGCAAAAGACACTGAAAAGGAAGGGAGTTACATTTTGCCATCGCCTTCACTCATCCACATGTACGTCCGAAACACACATCAGACGCTTGGGAAATTTATGTTGACGCATGTGATTCCACTTTGTGGTACTTGTAGGACTAAAGCAGATATGGACAAGCTGGAAGATACTCCTGAAGACCAAAAAATCTTGGAAGAGCGCAATGTTTCTGTTCTGAAGGCCGTGCAGTTCTCCGTGTTCTGCGAAGAACTGTTTTACACACTGATGAGAGAAGCACTTCAGAATACATCGATGTGGACAGATACGGCGTACAATATTAGCAACTACGTTGTCAGGAAGCACGGAAGGGGAGAAAAGGATGCTGCCGACACACATATATCAGTTCTGCAAGTGCTAGATGACGAGATCGTCCTCCGCGTGAATGAACGCTACCATTTGACGATCAAACTTGTAGACGTGAAGAGTTTGTCCCAAAGTAATAACATGCCTGTGGAGAAAGAGGACACAAGTGAGACAATGGAAACTGCTGGCGAAGCACAGGAGCAGGACGTAGAACCTGCTACGGATATACGACTGAGCGACATCAAAACTGAAGATACTGTGCTGATGAGCAGTAGTCCGGCCAAACCACGCCGTACTACATCGTTTTCATGCTCGGCTTCTGCTGACAGCGTCGAAGTTTTCTTGACACAAACCTGTCAGTATACGCTCCTTCTCCTGCAGCAAGAAATCCGTACTCGCCAGGGTCGGAAGGAAATCTCGCGAGCTTTGTTGTACAGAAGCTCAGATGCTTCGACAGCTACTGGAGGCGGGCTAAGCACTGGCAGCACAGGTAGTGCCGGTGGTATGGGTATCGCAAGTGAGATGACCAAGCTCGAAAACACACCTGGAACGCTGGCAACAGTCTTGGCTATTCTGGCCCATAACCTGCTGAAAAGCGAAGTGACGCGGTACTTGGACAAGGTTTCGTCGGTTCTTGCTTTTCAGAAGTTGCAAACATCAGCTTCAGGTCGTGTTCTGGATGATGGTTTGCTGCAGCCGATTTGCGATTCGGTGTGTGGTATCTACGTGGGTCCACGTTGGAAAACATGTGCGTTCGACTCGACGCTATCAGCGTTTGATTTGAACGTCGGTAAAAACTTTTCCACAGAGGTACTCATTTCTGGTGCCCGCATTCTCGTTCAGACTGGAATCGCATCTCAACGTGAAGTGTCAGGCGTAGAAGGGCTGCGCGAGTTTGTTGAGGCAACCGTGTGCTCTCAGGTGGCGCTAGCACTTCACCGCGATGCGGTGTCGTTTGGTCTTAAACTGAGCTCACTGAATTTGGACAGCACGAGCGTCCGCCTTGTTGTCACTGGCGAGTGGGATGGTAGCTGTATCGGCGAGGGCCGCGTATCAGATTCAAGATCAGTGGGCTCAATCTTTTTAGAGCCATACTTTGCCGATGATGGCACCTTAGTCATCGACTGTTTACTACAAGCTGTCGACGCAACCAAATTGATGCCTGTGCAAGCTGCACTTCGTCGGACTGCGCACGGGGAGGTAGTGCACAAGGTGGACTGGAAGCGGATACCTGGCATGAGCGACGCGATTAAAATGCTCTGGCTCATGCAAAAGGCTGGCGTGCTATCTGACAAATTCAAGCCGTCTATAAAGTCAGAGATGATGCCGCTATCCAACGGCAGCTGACGTCAACCTGCAATCTGTCTTCATCCCCCATGGAGCTTACCAGCGTAGAAACTCGACGAGTGGAGCAGTTTGAACGCTTTTAGAATCCGGCACTAACGCAATAGCAGCATTCTTTTTGGTGTACGTGTGGAGAACATTGCTGCTGCTACACTCTTGAGTTGCAGCTTACAATCGACGGGCTGACGCAGGCATGTCATCCGGAAGGTTGGTCAACGGCATCAGTTTTCTGCTGGGTATGTGCTTTGTTGTGATTTGTTGTGCGAAATATGCAGGTTGTGGGGAGTTTGCCAGCAGTTTGACATGGTCAGGAAGACATCTGTAGAAGAGATCACTGAGATTTACCAAGCCAACGGCTGGTCCGACGAAAACATGCGCTTCTTACATCCAACACGCTGAACTATAGAGATGTTGGCGACGGATTGGCCCTAGCGTTCAAGTCAGGTTCAGCATCCTCAATTACTCCGGTTATAGTCGAAGATCTGTTCGCACTGGTCTGATGCTAAGCTGTGGACTCTTCAACGACAATTCCACGTCAAATGCTGAGGCTACTGCAGCAGACAACGCCTCGTCGCCTACCCATCACTACTGATGAGGTGCACGTCACTGCTGTTGTTCAGACTCATGACCAAAGCACCCGTACTGCATATCAGCAAAATATATGCACAGCTTAGCTGTTTGTCGAGCGGGGGGCCGGGTCAGTTCCCGATAGACGCTTGAAGATCGCGTCCAGCTGGTCTGCCACGAGTTCGTAGCCGCCATTGCTCTGCAGCGCGAGATGCACCTGCTCGTTCAAGCCACCCGGCGTAGCCGCTTCGTGGGCCATCTCACCAAAGTTCTCGGACGAGTCCGCTCCTGCCGTAGCCAGTGCATGGAAGAAGGACGAGATGAAGTCACGCGACGCCTGGCTGCCTGCAAAAAAAACGTAAAAGGAGGTGGCCAGTCAACATCAATCATCCTGGAGCTAAGAAGGCATCAAGAGACACGCGTACCCACGCCATTGTTAACACACCACCGCTGCGTAGTGTCGCACGTGGCATAGAAGGACGAAATGAGCGCCGTGATGCCGGTGAGCTTGGTGATCTCCGCCTCGTCCACTACCATCACGGGCGTGCCAATCTGATCAAACAGGTCACGAGCGAAGGCATTGTCCGGATAAGCCAAAATAGGGCCAGCACGTTTGGCAGCGACAGGGAGCGGGACCGATCGCACGACGCTTTCGGTGGGCAGCTTGACAAGCTCCAGCAGCTCTTCGTACGGGATTGTAGCCATCATGGACACGACTCGTTTGCCCACAAACGATAAATTGGGTAGCTCCTGACGCGCTATATTGGGCAACAGCCCAATAAAAACGACGTCGCTCTTGTCCACGATCTCCTGATTCGATGCGCTGATGCTCACGCGGTCCGGGAACTTTGCCACGAGCGCCTCCGCTTTGGCCTTGGTGCGTGCGGAGACGTACACGTGCTGGGGCTGCCAGCCATTGGAGCTGCAGAAGCCTGTGAACACGGCCGAGCCGATCTTCCCCGTGCCCAGTAGACCCAACGTCGTGTCGGGGGGAGGCGTCATGGTGGTGATCTACTGGTTTTGTTGCTGAAAGATTGGTGCAATACAGGATAGGATTGACACAGAGACGGGAGATGCTGCACTGCGTCTGGTAGCATGCTTTTTCCTGATAACACACACGTTTACGTGCAGCTTTATGTTTAGGTCATTCTAGATTTGTCGTTTGAAGTGTTTAAAAAGAACGTCACGACTGATTCGTGATGATGTGAGCTTACACTCGATGACGGGAAAACGCAAAAGAAAACTCGCTTGAAATTAGTCCAAGCTCAATGCTTGCAGTATAATTACGGTGTCGTTTTATTTGTTCGGCGGCACCTTCAACCCGTACGCCACGAATTCGAGCATAACCAAGTCTCGAATCCCCCACACACACATACATTGCTGGCTTGCAGGCTGCGAGAAAGCAACTTATTGCTGCAGCTTATAGGGACAGCAACATGCCTTCGGCAGAGCTATTCAAAATCTCTAGCACCGTCGCAAAACTTGGTCGCTGTTCGGGGACGCTTGCCCAGCATAAAGTCATGAGCTGCTTGAATAAAGGCGAGCAGTTCTCGGGAACCTTTGGTCGCAAGTTGTTATTCAGCACGCCGAGTGCCGCCTGGATTTGAGTCAGGCCTTCATATGGGCACTGCCGCGTAACAGTCTCCCAAACCACAACGCCGTATGAGAACACATCCGCCTTCTCCGTGTACTTCTCGGCAGCGAGCACCTCAGGTGCCATCCACTGTGTTGTCCCGCAGTTCCCTGTCATCGTCTGAAAGCGTGCACGCACTCGCGCTAGACCAAAATCCGAGATCTTGAGTGCATAGGACGAATTGATCAACAAGTTCGGACTCTTCAAGTCGCGATGTAAAATCGGCGGCTGGAACGAGTGCAGGTAGTTCATACCGAGCGCCGCGTCACGCGCGAATCTACGATACAAAACACAGAAGTCAGAAGGTGCCCGATAAACTTGTCGATTGCTCCATGCAAAACTATAGCAGCTGTCGCACCCAAACTGTTTGGCCACATCAATGACAACATCTTGGCGAATGACATTCCACAGCGATCCACGAGGCAAGTATTCAATCACGAGGCAGCGCGTGGGTGGTTCCAGACATGCACCCATCAACAAACAAATGTTCGGGTGCCTAATGTGATAGTCGACACAAATTCAGTCGTGAGACATCCTATTCTATCACGCTAGCTGATTAGCTAAGACGAAAAGCACAACTGTACCTCAATATGCTCATGATCTGCACTTCGGCTTCGAACTCCTCGAGTATATCAGCTGTCAGATACTGACAAACCAGAATCTTTACAGCCACGACAGTCCCTCGCCACTTGGCACGATGCACCGTGCCAAACGCACCCTGACCAATCATCTCATCAATTTGCAGCTCCTTGAAATCTAGGTGCAAACTGTCACTTTTGGCTTTCGACAATTTGGGCCTCTTTCTTCGCATGGAAGTTCCATGAGCACCTTCTGCCATTCCACCTCCAGCACCATTCACTCGGTCAAGTTCTGCAACATCTCGTGCCAGTGCTTCGCCGTTCCCAGCGCCTTGTTTTACCTGTGCTTTCGTCACTGCGAATGCTGCTGTGAACTCGACATCAACCTCATCAACGAGAGGGGTTGCAGAAGCTTTCACATACATCGGGGAGTGTAAAAACAGCGGGATACGTGCCTTTCGCGCAACCTCGAGCTGCATTTGAGCTGGCGGAGCAACATCACGCACAAACTGCCGCTCGACGTTCGTTTTCAGTGTTTTTGCGTTATCAGATGCATCCGCTACATCGGATGGTTCCAGCAGGTCCCCACCGCTATATTTCCCCCCAATCTGCATCAGCCTAAGATCTCGGTCCGATTTGTCTGCAACATCAAGCACACGGTCGTCCGGCAAATGCTTTTCCAAGTCGTAAAACCCGTCATTCTCAGCTTCAAACGACACACTCTCCAGTAAAACGTTTGCTGCACCTTCAGCTGCACCTTCATGTCGAGGAGGCGACACATAACCCATCTCTTCGTCGTAATCATCCAATGTGATCCGATGTTGATTCTTTCCAGAGTCCTCCGACACCCTCTGCGGTATGCACTGGTCGTAATTCGATCCTTCGTACGTTGTTGTGGGCAGCTGGTCCATGATGATCTCTTCACTGTCTACAACAGCACATTTGGCGTCGTCACCACACATAGCCGAGGACGCCGCTGTCCCACTCTGTGTACGCCTTCGCATAGGCTGATGCGTGACTAGGTACTTGACCCCAGATGCAGCCACATCATCATCACCAGTCGCCGCCACCGCAAAGGACGACGTCTCTCTACCCGGCTTGATCCCCGCGTACCCATCAAGAGGCTGCAGCGGCAAGTGCTGCATCTGCGTCTTCTTTTGCTTGACCACTTGTCGTCCCTGTCCAGGTCCTCGCTTCTGCTCCTGGGACTGCCCCCTGCCAACAGGAGACGCCGGGTGCAAAAAGGGTCTGGTGTCATTGTCGCTCCCGCCATCCACAGGACTGCTCTTGTGGTCCGTCAGCTCCTCATCACTCCACGGCTGCTCACGGATAAACTTGAGGTACATAGCAATCGCCAGTATCAAGAAGCACAGTGACCCGGACAGCACAGGGTCCATTTCTAACATCGATTCCTGTGGTCTCGAGCTTTCCAACGGCTGAAAGTGAGAGAAGCTGACTGACGACAAGTGAGACGCAGGACGTGGTGCCTCCACACTGAGATATTGCGAGCACTACAGTCGCCACCGTCCTTAGCAGCGTCCCTCTGACTTTAACCGGACCTACCTGTCGTACCCTGGAAGTCGACGGGTTTTCCTTCCCCCCAGGTAGTTGTGTGTGGTCGACACCAATTTCGACCGAGTGGACACAACAACATGGCTACACTTGTGGTCGGTCGTCTACAGACCAGCAGCTGCCTTGATGCCTGGCAACTCGAGCGACAGGATGTGGTGCAATGCTGCCTCGAACGTTGCAAGGTAGTACCCGGATTCACTACGTCGCTTTTCAAAGTCACACAGGCGATTCAGCAGCACTTGGGTGAAGATCGGCGCTTCCAGATCACTGTGGACGATCACGTAAATAAAAATGGGCAAGAAGTCGTCGCCGCTCAGCACGTCCTCCTCCTGCGACTTGAACGATGACTCACTGTCCACACCATCCGCCTCCTCCTCCTCTCCTTCTTTTGGCTCTTCTCCGCTTGAGTACTTCTCGACAAATGTCTCAGCTTCATCTCCGATGGTCAAGCCCCGGCACGATCGATTGGAACTGCTACTCGAGGGCGACAGCACGCGGGTCATCGGCAATGGCGACGATTGAGGCTGCCACAAAGCACCAGCTGTCGGCGTCGAGTTTCGCCGACGGTGGCGTGGGGACGCACATGCGCGCATTGTGTGTTCAGTTTTGTAGAGCACGTGGATCTGGTGTGCCGTGGAGACCAACTTCCGCATTTTGTCGAGCGGCAGGAAAGCTCGGTCAACCTCCTTCACAATATCCACCACGGACCGCCAACTGCTCAGTGAAATTTTGTCTACTGGAATGCCGAAGTAGCTCTGCGGCTTGCCTTTTAACAGGAGCACGCGCTGACGAAATTGGTGCTCCTCATGCCGCACATGTCGGCGTAGATACTGGGTCAAGTCGTACATTAGTGGTACGCAAATGCGGTCCTCGAGCTCATGCCGGATGGCATCTGACACAAGCTGATGCAGCTTATCCTGGTTGCTTACGGTGTCGGTTGTCATCAGGCTCACAAACGAGCTGTGTCGACCAAGCGCCGGGCTGCCAGCATTACCCGACAGGATTTGCTTCATCAGACGTTGGACAATCAGTCTCATCTCTTCAAACCGGTGCTCAAGCATATATTCCTGCACGCCGTCCAAAATGTCACCGATCTCATCCAGCACATTCTTCCCGGTTTTAAACCCACTCTGTTTCATCTTCGACAGAAACTTCTGGCAAGCTTTTCCCTCAGGTGACGTCCGGTCGTTTACGGTGTGGTACACAAATACGCGCAGCTCGCGAGAAATTGGCTGGGTTCGATTGCGCTCAAGAATACCCACGTGCGGCACTTCCAAGAACTGCTGCAATTGCTTCAGAGCGACACCATGGAGAAAAGTGAGCGGCGACGGGGCAACAAGTGCTGCTGTAGTGCGCAAAAAGTTCTCCAGCACGGGTGCACGATCGTACGCAAGCTGATTTGGCGAGTTCCGACCATGGGCACGACGAGTTGGGAAGACGCATTCATTTACCTGCCCGGACAAACGGCTCAACTGGATAAACATGAGGGCAGTCAGCAAGATTTCCGTACTGAAAGATGTTTGAAGCGAAAGCAGTCGCTGCGAAAACACGTACTTTGCGGTGGAGTTTGTAAAGCTCGCGAAAGCGCTTCCGCGTGAACCAGACGACACCACTTTCGACATCAACAACGCGGACAATGTACTCCTGGAACAGTCCGACCAAATGAAAACTAACGTAAGAAATTGCGCGCATCACAGACGGTCTACGGAAGTGAGTATACGCACCATATGACCACTATTTCGGGCAGGTTCGCTTTCTTCGCGGGAGATTCGGATGCAGAGTGCATGACGAATTCCTGGAACAAGTCACGGAAGATTAGACCGTCGTCCAAATCTAGCCGCGGTTGTAGTTGACGTACCTTTCGCCTTCAGAATGAGCAGGTGCCACTCGTGATCGGACATCATGCTATTCATTTTCATCGTCATGTCCATCAACTGATGCATCAGAAAAAACAACACGTAAGTATGGTACAAGCATACAACGCGACGCATTCTGAACACGCACCATTTTAGTGGGCTGAATCCTTGACAAAATCATGGACCGCAGACAGTCAAGTTCGTGACTCGAGATAACACCACTGCGGTAAATCTCGCTTGCCTTCGACAGCAGTCCGAACACAAGATGAGGCTCGCGGTGACGAATGCGTTCTTCGGCTTCAAACAAATTCAGCTTGCTCTTCTTGATCACATCAATGTGCGCTGTATCAAAGATACTAGGACGCTTGTTACGCAGCTCCACGGGGAGAAACTTCTGGTTCATAGCGTCTGCCACAATTTTCTGGTTGGCGCGCATGGTTGCATCATCAAACACAGGAGCGATCACCCCGTCCGTCGATGCCCTGTCGTCATCAAACTCTTTTCCATACAGTGTACCATCGTCTTCGGCTAACGTGCTACTAGATCTATCCGACCGACTGTCATTCACAGCGTCAGACGCCTCCAAACCCCCCTTGTCCTCTAGTTCGCCCTCTTCCTCCTTCTCACTTTCCCCGCACTCTTCATCCTCCTCTTCTGCGATTCCTTCCTCCGATGGCACATTTATAACTGTCTCATCATCGTCTGGCAACTACACTCAAACAAATCTCGTCAAGATGTCACATTTCACAAGCACCACCTCCCACAAACTCACCTTTAGAAAGTCGTCCGGCAGTGGGTGCTTCACAGGCCATCGATTATTCTCACACGCATTTTTCGCCCCTTTTAACTTGGCTGCTCGCACCGCCGCATGTTCTGCTTGCTCCATTTTCAGCACTGCTGCAATAGTGTCCTCCATTATAAACCGATTGGCCTCCAGCACCACTTGCAGCGTCTCCGACTCCCACTTAGGAAAGATAGTGTGCAAAATCTCAACACCACGAGCCAAAGCCGCTGAATCTGGCGTCGGTGCGGGTGCGCGGCGGTTCGGACTGGACGACGGCGGTCCATTGGCGCTCTTCTTCTTGGAAAAAATGGCTTCTAGTAGACTCTTTTTGCCATCGTCGCTGACTTTCTTGATCTGCTTTGCAAGACCGCTGCGTTCACGACGACAGTGAGTTTGTAACGGTGTGCGGCTGCCCATGAAGCCTCCTGTGTGAGGAGGAGTGATCGCCCCCCGCCGACCTGCCGAAGACGTCGGCTGTAGGTGAGACATCCAAAATCGGACAATACCGGTATGACACAGCTCACTTCGACTCGCAGCCTCGATCGCCAGGTATGCGCTTGTACAGGTTTGTCACCAAATTGCCCCAAAATAAACAAACTGACCATCACTCTTTGTTTTCCGCGATGTTCCTGCCGTGGATCTCCAAGTGCGACCTTGTGCCGACGTCTGCCGACTCGTATGTGCTCAAGGTGTGTACCTATCTCTCCATCTTTACTCTCTAAGCATCATTGATGTACCTAATCATGTCCACCACCTGTTGTCTGTACGTCGCGTGTTGTCTCTTTTTTCTTTCACTCAGAAATTCTCGGAAAAATGCCAGCGCGGAATGTGCTCCATGGTCGTGAGTTCCCTCACGGAGGAGGGCGTGGACGTGATGGCAGTTCTTCCCAGTGGCCACCATATCCGATGGGCCATGGAGGTCCTGGGCCACTCATTCGCGCTGCCTATGGACGACTCGGACGTCATTTCTGGCTCTCTGGGCGTCTACCAGCGCTGGCTCGGGGTAGACGAAGAGGCGAAAGGCGGAAAAGACCAGCGGCCTGCTTGTATGCAAAAGGTGGAGCAGACGTTCATTCAGGACGTGCTGGGACAAATGACACTGCTTTTTGAAGAGCGCTCGAGCAACGGTATCCCGAGCGGAATGGCAGAAAGCAACTTGGCTACACACGTGGAGCTGTGCACGAAGTAGGAGTTTGTCTCTCTTTATCCATGCTACGTTAATTGCTATGTTGACATTCTGGTTGCTATGCATAGAGTACTGGAGACTTTCGATGCTCTCGTGAAGCACCGAGGGACACAGCTGTCCACGTCGACGTGGGATCGGCTGATCCGACTAGTTCTTGGGGCAGCGGACGGGCTACTGCATAATCTGCGCAATCAATTGGGCAACCACTTATGTGGCCAGCTCGTGCGACTTTTGTTCGAAGTGTACCTGCGGTCACTGCCGCAATGTGGACCACGAGGAGAACTGTGGGGTCTGCTGCAAAAGTTCTGTCGACGATGGATTCATCGGACGCTCGTGATTGAGCAATGGAATGCGGTCACGCTTGGACTTACACGGAGCATGATGCGGCAGATTCGCGACCAGAACGCGACTAAAGAGATTGAAATCAATTGGGCAGACAATCGACAGCCTTTCAAGTTTGAGTTAGAAAGCCCCATGCTTGCCTATGCGTGGTACCGTCTTCTCCGTGTGATCGGTCACCCTTCTGCGATTTTTGACCCGGACGTGTACCTTGCTGCTGTGAAAGGGGTGAGTCGACTTTCTGACGAGTTTGCGAGCATCGAAAAGGTGCCTCGCGTTCAGTGGGAGCACGTGTTGGGTGCACTGAACCAAGCGCCGAACCGCGACAGCCCAACGTTCCAAGGAGTGCAGAACGATGATGCCGATCCGACGAACGACCTGTCCACAACAGCCACTCCGAAAACCGTGGAGCAACCGCGAGCTCCGCCTGATCTCAACTCGATCCTACGGCTGCTCGGGCCATGGTTGTTTGACGCCTGCTTGACTCGCAAGCCACACTTTGCCGCTGGTCGTAGCGAGGCTCTTCGATGTCTCGGGAAGCTCTTGTGTCATTACTCCAGTGGCCGTTCGAAACGTGTCAACTGGGCTTTCAGCGTTCGCAGTTTGATGGCTCTACAGAACGCTCTGCTTGACGATGACGAACGCATTGCAGCTTCCGCAGTGTTCAACTGGTCAAACGTGTTTAGTTTGTACGGAAACCACACGCTACGTGGTGCCGGTGTTGTTGCAGGTCCATTTCATCAGGCTATTGAGCGCGTATTCCGGTACGAAAGAGAAGCGCGTCGTCATTTTGTACGCCATGCTGACGATGCCGATTGTGTTTATGCAGTACTGCGGAACGTAAGAACATGCCGTCTTCCTCGTCTACAAAACCCGACGGCCGTCGTGGCGGTGACTCGTTCTTTATTTTGGACGATCAGCACGTTGGAGGAATCCCGATTGTGCTACTCCGGCGAGCGTGCATTGAAGCCTGTAGCTCCCTCCTTACCATACATACCCATGTTCCAGTACGTCTAGCTACGAATGTGTTATTGGTGTATCCTGGTGGACTAACATGTCTTACTATACCGTGACTTCGTTACAGATTGCGATGATCAAAGATGCTGAGCAAGAGATTGTAGCACCGTCAATGGCCGATATTCCAGGGCTGTATTCCAGCTTACCGAAGTACACCAGCTCGAACGTTGTCGCCTTATTAATGACTGCGATTAAGACTGAGACGGACCCGACGAATCAACAGATGATGATGTGGATCTTGACGGTAGCCATTCAGCAGGAGGCTGCTCTTTGGGCGAGTGGCTTGGCGTCGAGTCGCAACTCTCAAGTACCTTTTACAATCTTGCTGATCAGCTCTATCATCAGCAAGTCGCAAAAGTACCAGCCACCGGTGCTGTTCACCGCGTTTGATTGTCTGCGTCATTTATCACTGGTATGCGAGGAAGTCTTCTTCCACCATGCGAACTCGGTTGTCCACTTGGTGAATACGTGCTGCGATTTTATTAGCAATAATGCGCCGGTTCTGCGCTCTAGGACGGCGCCGTTCTATCTGGACAGTCTCATGGCAGCAGCATACCATTGCATCATCGAATGGATTGTAGCAGCGCCTTTGCTGTTAAACAAGCAACAAGTTATTGCGAAGATCATCACAACCATTGTAGACGGTAACGAGCGGTTCCAGTCTCTGACCGCCGATACTACGAACATGGCGGCGCGCGAGGCTGCCCAGAAACTGGTGAACATGCTGATGAAACATCACTGCTCACACACGAGTATTGTCGGTTCCATCGGTACGCACTACTCGGGTTTGACGGAAAAGGTGAGGCATTTTTCTAAGCGTGGTGTAATCTCTATTTATTCTAACGCGTGTTTGCTTCAGTCTGTGCTAGCACAGTTGTGTGATCTGAAAGACGGGTCCGACATCCACCGTCATTGCCGCTTCTTCTCCGTGAACAAAAATTCCGTCTTGACGGTGATCGAGAAACCTGCAAATGCGGTAGAATCAGGCGAAGCAATTCTAATTATGCGAGACTCTACCGGTCGTTATGTCTGGCGGTCCAAGCCCCGGTACCGCGACGGCCCGCGCCTTAAGAACGTAGCTGAGTTCGAGGACTTTCATGAAGACTCCAATACGCGAGCGCTTAGTAACCTTGATTGTGATTCTGAAGCGAATACTCACGAGAATAGTGACGACTACGATACTGAAAGCGACGAGGAAGAGCATGTGGAAGACCCGCTACTTGCCGCAATCCGTGACACTCATGCAAAGACTCCCATGACAAGCTGGCGTTCTTCTCCTGACGGCGGGGCAGAGACTAGCTCGGCTTTGATGGAAATTTTACCGGGTGAAGGCAACACGGGGATGAGCTCGATTGAGAAGAAAGCTTTAGCTGGTCGTGATGATACCCGAAGTACTCAGGACGCTGTGTTCATGAGTTTGCTCGTGGCGCAGAGCCAGGAGGACAAGCGTGCTTCTAAGCCAAAGGGTTCTGCGCGTGGCGTGAGATGCTGCAAACCAACGCCACCTGAGAAAGATGCTGCACTTCAGACGTGGGAAGTATCACGGAGGATGATGAGTGAATTAGGTTTTCTGTCGGTTGGCAACTGGGGTTCCGTATTCGCGATGGATGCAACCGCGGCTACTGATTTTCTCCGTGACCTGGAAACGCTGGATAAACTTCCAGAACGCGAAACACTTGATATTTCTGTTGCCTATACGTTTGCTGGAACTTCTCGAGGGGGTTACGACCAAATCCATCTAGCCACCTCGACAGACGTACGAGCTGGTTACGTTGAACTGTCAAAAGACTACCAGCTCTTTCTCTCGTCTCTCGGTGAACAAGTCGACGGCCACTGCCGCAAAGGATACTGTGGCTATGACGCTGATTCTGCAAAGGGCCGAATACTTCACTACGCGCACTACAGCCACGAGGCATACATCTACGTGCCGACCCTACTGGTAGAAGGAGAGGAAAGCGGTAGCGACAGCGACAGTGAAAGTGATGCAGAAGACACTGAAGGGACGAATGCGAGGATGTTGTTTCAGCACGCGAATGTGCTCATCGTTTGGAATGAGTGTCAGCAGACGTATCGTCCAGGGAGCGTGTTGTGGGACGCGGTATTCAAGCTACCTGTGCCTACGTCAGGAGTAGTGTTGATCATCGATCCACTGGGCAATGATCTGTACTGCGTCCACGTTAGCCACGAATCGTCACCGTTGTTCAACCAACGCGACGTGATTGCAAACCAGGAGGACAGCTTCGTGGATGAAGCCGATGTTTACACTAGCCGCGTGCTTGGTCCGTTGCTGGATGGCATGGTAGTCAACGGTGCTTGGTTGGCCCCACTCGTCCGTCAGACGGCCATCAACGCTTCTATCCTTTCACGCTCTTTCCATCGCTACCAGTACGATATTGGTGCTGTTTCATCTTCCCCTGTAGGTGCCGAAGCCAATCGCAGCAAGGTGATTTTCTCATTTGTGGAAAAGTACATGCACCCGAAACTTCCTGGCGAATTCTACGGCGACCTGTTTGCGGACCTTACCAGCAAAAGCTAATGCACCGGGATTTACTTTTGTGCAATGCTGTTTCCGCCGTCTTGTTTCTGGAATGGCTTGGCTCGTTCCCTGTACTTTGTTAATGAGTTATCAACAGGCAATACTATCTTACTGACGCTCTGGATTTTATGATCGTAGCAGCCTACTTTACAGGCGAAAGGTCAACGAAGTGCTGGTATAATATGATGCCACCATCAGAAGTTTGTTTTCGTTCAGGTATTCGATCTCTTGATTTAGGAATTATGAACTGTGAAGATCGGCATCCAGTTAGAGCACGGTGAAAGAAAAAATGTCAATGTGGTGGTGCGAACGAAGGGCACGACACCTTTGTCGATTATTTCGACGGCACCTTCGATGCTTCCCGTGGTTGTAGTAACACTCTGGATCGATGCTGCGACAACCGGATTTGCGTTTGGTTGCTTGGTTTTTTACTTAGGTTGAAATGTTCATCCAAAGGATCGTACAGCAAACGTGACAGCATGTTGTACAAAGGATGGTTTTACGTCAAGATCGGCGAAAATGCAGGTAGCATGTACCAGCGATGGCTGCCACACTTCAGCAAAGCGTAGATCAACTTCTCCAGTTCATCACTGGTCCTTTGTCGGATAAGGTTTCTACCAGTGGGTATCTTTCTGCTGAGATGCTGAAGCTGCCTGTCTTGTCATGTACGTAGCCACCACACAGAGATGAACTTGTTGTCCGGTATCGAAATGCAAGAGCTGCGATTTATCCATGAAACACTGCGAGACAGCTTACGACTGGGTACATCCAAGATGCTAGTCCAACGAGGTGTATCGAGAGTACTGGCAAGCAAGGAAAAATGCTCGCACTTTATTGCGATCTGGATGCTTAACTTGAATGTATGTGACCTTCGTGGTGCTTGAACCCGAACGTCCTTTTCGTGTAAACGGCGGTTCAACTTTCGTTCACATAAGCAGACAAGCATCCATGCTCGAACGTGAAAAATCTCAAAAGTAATAGCAATTTTTGACACGAATGTCTTCGCTCATCGCGACGTTCCGAAACACTGTCGTGAGAGCGCGCTTTCACCATGGCTGCGAACATCTCGAATACGTTCCACGTACGTACTAACGTGGCTCGTCGAAAAGAACTCGAGTACGCATTCGCTAGATGCACCCAAAACAAAAGTGGCCACGTGGGTATACAGGCGCTATCGATGGTGGTGGACATTGGTGCAAAAGAACCAGCACTTGCCCCTCCAGTCTTGTCGTCATCCAAACGTGTTTCCTTACTGCGGAAAGATGATGCTATTGCATCGCGGAGAAATACGTCTTTGGAGTTGCGGTATGACACGCACTTTGACTCTGGCTGAGCAATCAACACTGGAGCAGAGGCAGCTAATGCTTCGAACTGCGCCAAGCTGGAACAGTGATATAGGTACATCATCGGCTCAATGCCATGGTGGGCAGACGTGACGCTTTCTGAGATCATTTCTGAGATCAGAGCTCACCTTTCCTCGCTTCGAGATCGCCGCGCGTTATGCGATCAGCAAAAACTCCGAAATTGCCCCGATGCTCCTCAAGGAAACGATCAAGGCAAATATCACGACCATCTGCAGAAGCTACAAGTATGAGAGAACGAAGGGAACAGCAACGTGCCATAGATATCATGTGCATGAGCTCCACCATCAATCCATTCATTGCACTTTCAGACCTCGAAGTGACTCAAAAATCTGCTTCCGACTGCTCCACTGTTCAATCGTTTACGATCGCATCTTCTTGGCCGCATTGCCTTCTGCACTAGGATCGTAGTCAAATTGTGATAGGCTGAGATCATCGATACTGTATCGAGCATCCGGCTGGTCCTGAACTGTCGGAAGTTGCTCGGTTTTAAATATGGGTGGAGGATTGGTCGACGCCGTCATACGTGGCGGTGGCGGAGCGTTCGACGAAGCCCATCGCTGCGCCTGTGGACGAATCGGGTTCGAAGAAAAACTTGACGCAGTCGTTGAAGTAGAGGATCCATATCCAATGTTTGTTTTGTTGATTGCAGTTGTCTGCAATGTTGACGATCGTGGAATGGCCGCAGGAGCAGTCGTACTTTGCTGCTTCGCGAACGGATATCCATTACTGGTAGACGGATGATGTACCGTCTGAGGTGGCTTCCACTGGTGCTGCTGCGGTTGTGGTTGCACCTGATGCGGCACTGGCTGACGTGGTTCATGTTTCTGAACTGCCTGTTGCTGTTGATGATGATATTGCTGCTGCTGTGCAGATGGCAAAGGCGGACCATGCTGACGAACAGGCGGCAGAGCCTGTGGCTGCTGATGCCGTACAACCTGTGGCTGCTGATCCTCTCGTGGCGGCGGCTTCATTGCTTGACCATCGTGCACTGTAGACTGCCTATTTCCAGTAGACGAGCCTCCATCCGACACCGGCTGCTGCTTCTGTGGCTGTCCAGGCAGTACAACGTTCGGTGCTGCTGCCAACGGTGCCATGGGTTTGTTCGAATTCACGTCCTTGATATGTTCCCTGTCATAGCAAGAGTTGCCCAGGTACTCTCCAAAGAGCCTCAACGCTCTCTTCCGAGCGTCCGAGACACTAGCCTTCTTGGCCTGCTCCAAGGCCGCCCCCAAGTCTCTCTGTCCGTCCGAAGCACCAAATCCCACATCCTCATGACTCGTGCCGTCCTTCAGCTCGATGCGAACTAACGAACTGTAGGCAATGCTCCAGCGCTCCCCCTTTTTTTCCTTCTGCAACAACACCATAAACAAAAGAAAAAAACACAAAATGAGAAAACATACACCTCGTTGACCTTGCTTCCACTTTTTATAAAAAGCAGACAAAAGAAAGACGTGCACACATCCAACACGCACAAACTCTTCCTTGCACTCGACAATGTGGCACGACCAGCCATTGAACCCGAACGCGCGATTGGCCAATTCAATAGCCTTGCAGCTCTCAATGTACGTCAGTTTCCGGCCGCCAGGTCCAGGCCGGCGGGCCAGACTGTCCTTGCCCAGTTTCTGATGCAAAAACGCGTTCACGCTCTGCTGCTCTTGGTCGGCGAATGCTACGCGGCCGAAGCGCATCGAGCTGCTAATGCTGTGGGGAGATAGCAGCGCTGCTGCTACTTGCTGAGCCGCTAGCGCCGTCACCGTCTGCTGCCAGTCGCTGTCCGCGTTTCCAGGCGGCGAGTCGCTGCTTAATCGTCGCTTCATTTATTGAAAGACGCTGAACGAGAGTTTCCTCTTGGAATAATATTGCAATATCTGGTGAAATATTGTACTTGGAAATGGCATGTGTCACTTTGTTGAGCCCCAAAAAAGCGCTGAGTATTTTATTTGACATGACTAGAAATTGTACCGCTCTATTTTAAAAAGTAGCCAAATGCACTAAAAATGGGAAAGAAAAAGAGCCTGGCAATTGGGGTCGTGCAAAGGCAACCTGTTTTGCCGATTCGGAGTTAGTCATGCTTGTCCTTTTGGTCTTTCTCAATATGCAAGAATCGCTACAATTAGTCGATTTTTTTATCAAACGAAAAAAACGTGATGCTCATATGGAGTGAAGCACCACGTTTCGTCAAAAGGAAATGTGACAATAACGCACTGCCTTGCTTACCGAGCACGATGCATGTATATAGTTACGTCACCTTCGCACAAAGTAGATAGATGTGAAAACAGCGCCCATGCATCATGTGTTTTTCTCATCGCGAGTGTCCACAGTGACGACGGTACAATTGTGGTAACTGTAGCGGAGCTACACAGCTCTTGTAGTAAGAGAAAGACTATTGGCTGAAAGCTACTTCGTTCTACGGAAGTGGTTACGGCTACTGAAGAGTCTATCAGTAGTGTCAACAGGCTAAACAATTAGGTTGATCAGAAGGAACTAAAGTCACATTTTACATGGGATAACACGTCCTTAAGGCTTGAGCTCTTCTGCACAACGCAAAATCGACTTTGTTAAAAACCAAGGGAATGGTCATCCGCACACCAACCTTTACTATTTACACACCCCTCACACCAGTATTCATACAGCATTATCGGTGATTGGATTATAAAGAAGGCAGAGGTTAGAAACCTTTTTCTGAAGGATTCAGTGTTCAGGGCTAGCTCCAAGTAGTGGTATTTACTAAGCGAATATTCTACTTCCAGGGGTGACCCGGAGTAGACAGAGGGTGTCGACAATTTAAACTGGTGATATACTGGCTTTTTGCTCCACTGTCTCGACGCATGCATAGAGAACGGCGCATGAAAGTGCATACTCTACCTTTTGATATTCTCTCTTCGCGATAGCCCGTGGATTACTGATGCACGAAGCCCAAATCTTGGTATTTTTGTGCTCATACCGAGTGATGCTTCCCTGTAGACAGCTGCGCTCCCATCTGTGCAGATCTTCGTTTGGCACATCCTTGCCACGGTGTGCTAAAAGTTTATCCATACTATTTTAGCACCCTAAACATTATACTAAAATCTGTTGGCTAATATTTCTTTCATATACAAAAGAGTAGACTTTAGACTTGTCAGCTAGCACTCATATTGAAGCATTTCTGCGTTCACTAATAGCATACTTGTTCACCGATCCTCTGCGCGACCAGTTTGTCTTAGAGCTGCAGCGCTTTCGTTAAAATTCCGGAAACAGGTGATCCGTGATCTTGTCACATCGTCAGCCGGTACTCTTATGCAACATTTTCCTTGTCTCGCCCAGCGTGGTGCATGTTGCATTATCCAGAAGCAACCGGTGCCTTGTACAGACTTGATAATCCGAGAGTACATTGCTATGATCCAAACTTGCAGCGGAGCCACACGAAGTGTAGCTCCAAGTACACAAATGTAAATAATCATTCACTTTTGGTCGTAATCTGCATAGTCTAGACAGGAAGAAAATCAACATAATTTATGAATTAAGCGCAAGACGTAGTATGATCCTTTCTGTAATGGGGTGAATCGTTACATAACAATTTATAAGAAATTGTTAATAGAATATAACTATAAGAGTTATATTCTCGGAATATTGTCATAAGGGCAATATTCTACAGCGCTTACGAGTAGTTCCTGATTGGTTGATATGGGCCATTATATCAACCAACGAAGACACGCCACGACAGACGCACGCAATGAGTGGTGAGCAGATAGTTGATATACACATTTGTATTGAGACATTGTTAGATGAGGATAAGTAGTGAATTATTGACAGGCATTAACTATCATAAATACAGTTCTACTTTTTACTTCATCCAAGTACTCGCTTCTTCTTACCGTCTTCCTCTGCACGTACCAGTGTACGTGAAGCTACGCGACACTGCCTTATTCTGTTATCAGAATAAGTAGTTTTTACTGTCATCAGTACAAGCTTCAGGGTGCCCCGTTACACCTGGTAGCACTTCGTAGTCCGTCCAAGGACCACGTTCACATCTTACATGAATATGTTAGATGATGAAGATGACCAAAGCTTTCACGCTACGCGTGACGGCTACTCCCATTAGAGCGATGTCGAATGGGATGCGGTTGAACGGGTGGGTTCAACCATGGGCATCCATGCTGTTAGCGTCATGCTAGAGGCTCTCAATAGAGATGCCCAACATGCTACTATCGCCAAGTTCATTCAAAATGAACTTGACGCTGAACGCGAGAAAGTAGCCTTGCTTCACCAACAAGGTTCTCAACAAGCAGAGCTGTTGAGAGAACAGGGTGCTCAACAGTTTGAACTGTTGAGACAGCAGCAGGCTGCTGCTGGTGGGTCGATGCACTCGCGTCGACCCGAAACCTTGAAGATTGACATCTCCAAGTATAGGGGGGTCGAAGAGGACTCCCTCTTGAGATGGTTCGTCGAATTGGATGACGCCATAAGGGCGCGTCGCATCGACGACGGGGATATGCAAGTTGCATTTGCCCAGTCAAATCTGGCAGGACGTGCCAAGACTTGGGCACTGGGGCTCAAGTTGCACGACCCATATGCGTTTGGGTCGTTGGAAGTCTTCAAGTCGCGGCTCAGACAAACGTTTGAACCGCCTAGAGCTGAGTTCAGGGCTCGAACCGAACTCTTGAAGCTCAAGCAGGGTAAGCGTGATGTGCACGCTTACGCTCAACATATACGACATCTCACGAGTTGTATAAGTTCCAATCCGGTGGATGAACACACGTTGGTTTCGGTGTTCATGCAGGGTCTTGCGGATGGTCCCGTCAAGACTCACCTGTTCCGGCTTGAACTAGATTCACTAGAACAATCCATTTCCATTGAGGAGCAGGAAGACTTCAGTCTGAGACAGGCTAGCGCCAGCTCGACATCATTTCGTCAACCGAGACGATATGACAACGGAGGTCCAGAGCCGATGGAACTCTGTTATGTAGAGAGCGAGAAGGCTCGCTATACAGGCTACAAGAAGTTGCAGAGATGCAACAGATGTCAAAAAACAGGACACTACGCTTACGAGTGTAGTGCCCCTCGTCCAGTGTCTCGCGACACTGGGCGTAGTGACCGTCCACCCATGAGAAAGGGGCAGGGACGAGGGTCCGCAGTTGGTGCAAAGACGCAACAACGGGATGGACCGTCAAAAATCGGACAGGATCAGTAGGTGCGGAGCACCCTACTGGTCTAGCAACGTCAAGAGAATTTGTAGGCCTCTTGATGAAGGTTGCTCCCGACACACAAACGTTGTGCGTTGCTGCTCTAGGTAATGAGGTCTCACTCATTACCTTGAAACTCGAAGTGACGAATAAGTTGTCCCTTCGAGCTCTAGTCGATTGTGGGGCGTCCAACAATTTTGTGCGACGCCAATCGCTAGAAGATGGTCACTTTAAATTCAGTGAATGTGACACACCTCCTACGAGGATGACGGTACGTCTTGCGACAGGCGCATCCGTAACCGTCATGAAGCGTATAGTGAAGATACACTATACGCTAGAAGATACCCAATATGACGATGACTTTATCGTATTGGATTTGGATGACAAATTTGATGTCATCCTTGGAATACCGTGGCTCAGAAGGTACGAACCGCGTGTAAACTGGCAACATCGAACAGTAACGATGCCTGCCGCTTGTTCATCAGATGGCCATCTGATGAACGTTTTGGAGCGTCCACAAGCGTGTGGATGTACTACGAGTGAGTGCGATGGCCTCACTTGTGGTACGGTCGTTAGTACGACTGCACAAAACCTTAGTGTACCAAACGGTTACACTTCGGAGCAAAGTTCCGGTGGCTGTGAGGAAACACAGGCTGCGCCGAAGGTCCACCACTCGAATAAGTCGGGTGGACTGGGACAAAGCTGTATCCCTAGCGGGGAACATCTAGAAGAGAAACAATCGATCGCTCAGGTTAAGCGAAACGATAATCCTAGATCGACTGGAGAGTTTTTCGTAGAGGATCTCGCTGTGGTTGCGCAACCCCAGCTAGAAGAAGTAAAGGGAATAAGTCCCAAGATTACAAATACGGCGGAAATAAGTTCCCCGAAACCCGCGGGAATAAGTCCCCGGGAAGACGAAGGAATAAGTCCTTCGAAGCGTGAGGGAATAAGTCCCCAGGAAATGACAGAGACATTGAATATCATAGTCAATAACGGATCAAGTGTAGGCGCTTATACACTTGATCTGATTGCGCCTCCGAAGTTAACTTCGGAGATCACTCAGTTGCCAACGCTCGAACATAAAAGGTTCTTGCGTGATCTGCGTAGTGGCAAAGTCAAGCAGGTCTGCATACTCGTCGCTGACGACGAGTGTGTAGCCTACATAAGGTCAGCAACAGTGTTTACTGAGAACAAGAGAGTTCTCAGTAGTTCATCTATGGACGAGAGTGTCCTAGATGAAAAGACACGAATTGAGCGATATGACTCCCAATCGTGGGAATCGCTCAAGACAAATCCTCTCTATGAAGATTTGGTTGAATTCAAGGATGTATTCCCTGAAACTGTTCCGTGCGAATTACCGAAGGATAAAGGTATTCGACACGAGGTCGAGCTTAAACCAGGCTCGAAGTACTGTGTCATGAAGCAGTGGCCACTGCCCCGTGAACAAGTACTTGCGATCGACAAGTTCTTTGCCGATCGTTTAGCTGCGGGCCATGTGAGGGAATCAACTTCCCCACATAGCTCTCCGACCTTCTGTGTGCGAAAAGCAACAGGAGGGTGGCGGATTGTGCACGCGTTCAACAAGTTGAATGCTGCAACGGTACCGACTCAGACGCCGATACCAAGGAAGGACGTAATCATTGATGGTATGTCAAAGAGTACCATATTTTCGTCCATGGATTTGATGGATGGCTTCTATCAAATCCTTATGCGGGAACGGGATATACCCTATACCGCAGTTAGCACGCCTAGCGGCATGCTCTGGGAATGGCTAGTAATGCCACAAGGGCTTAGTAATGCCCCTGCCACGTTCAACAGATGTGTATCACATCTGTTGAGACCAGTACGCGAGTTCGCGCCGAGTTATTTCGATGACGTATTCATCCATAGTCGAGCTATGGATGGAAAGTCGGACGTTGAGGTTCACAAGTACCACGTCCGACAAGTTCTTACAATCATGCGAAAGCATCAATTGTATGCAAACCTCAAGAAGTGTATATTTGCAGCAAGCGAAATACCACTTCTTGGGTGCATCGTTGGTAAGAACGGTGTACGTCCTGATCCCGAAAAGATCAAGGCGATCACCGACTGGCCTGTGCCGGTTGATGTCAAAGGTCTTCGAAAATTCCCTGGGCTAGCGGCGTATTTGCATAAGTATTCACGCAATTACGCCGAGATGACTGTGCACCTCTCTCGTTTGTTGAAAAAGAACGAGAGGTGGTTATGGAACGCTGAATGTCAGCGCTCCTTTGATGGTATCAAGCAGAGCTTGATACAATCCCCAGTCCTAGCAATAGCCGATCAGGACAGGCCATTTCATGTGGTCTGTGATGCCAGTGATTTCGCAATCGGCTGTGCATTAATGCAGTACGATCTTAAGGCGTTGAACGCGTCGTCTGCTATTAGTCGCGTCAGCTGCAACCAGCTGAGCGGAACTATCCAGTGCATGACAAGGAACTCCTTGCCATGAAGTATGCACTCGCGAAGTTCAGAGTCTATATATTAGGAGATAGACCCTTCATTGTTGACACTGACCATGCGTCGTTACGCACGGCAGTAAACATCCCGCACCTTTCACAACGAATGGCGCGTTGGTTGTCATTCTTTGCAGAATACAACTTTACGGTCGAGTACAAACCAGGACGACTTAATTTCGTCGCTGATGCACTCTCACGTCGGCCCGGCTTTGAGCCAGTCGTGAAACCCATCAGTGAGACAGCCACTGTTGCGGTTATGACGTCCACCATACCATTTTTAACGTTACATAATGATGTGCGGCGAGCGTATGCCCAAGATGGTGAGATTGTGAAGTTGTTGACACATCTCTCCCAACCATCTCGAGAATCGTTGAACCGATTATCGTCTGCGCATCGATCTGCATCAGGTCGATACACTACTCGCAACGGTTTACCTGTATTATACAGCCGTTACTGGTGACACACCACGTGTTGTCATTCCAGATGATAATGATCTGCGCTTGCGGATCATGTTCGAGTATCACGATGCTCCTATAGGAGGACATCGTGGCCGAGAGAAAACGTATCTCACGGTGAGTCGAGACTTTTACTGGCCCCGCCAGTATCAGTTTGTGCGCAAGTATGTTCGCGCATGCGAAGGCTGTCAACGAGTGAAGTCAGGTCCTTCACTACGTGCACCTTTACAGCCTCTACCAGTTCCGGCAGAGTGCCAGGAATCCATCTCGATGGATTTCGTCTTCGGGTTACCCAAAGACACACGCAAGAATACGGGTATTCTTGTATTTGTTGACAGATTCAGCAAAATGGTACACCTTGTGGCTGTACCAGAGTCAATCACGGCAAGTGGCTGTGCTTGTGTCTTTATTGACACCATCTTCCGACTTCATGGGTTGCCCCGTGAACTCGTATCAGACAGAGATCCACGACTCACTGCTGATTTCTGGCGTTCCGTGTTCAAGTCGCTCGGAACGCGCTTGAAGATGTCGACATCTGACCATCCAGAGTCATATGGTCAGACGGAACGAGCCAATCGTGTCCTTGAAGAGATACTTCGAGGATACGTACACTCCTTTAAGAGTTGGAGTGAGTTTTTGCCAATGGTAGAGTTTGCCACTATCAACTCGGTGCATGCGTCCACGACACATACACCGTTTTACGTGAATGGCTTGCGCCATCCGCGTGTACCCACCTTACTAGAGTGTAACTCTGGTTTAAGGGGGGGAGGGACTCGCGCGAGCAAAAACCGATTTGGTTCACGCTCATCACGCTCTGACGAAGAAGTCATTGCGTTTGATGCCGATATCGATAACATCGAAATCGAAGAAGATGATGCCAGTGAGAGTGCGGAAGCCCTCACTGAAGACAATGATCCCAGTGAGAGTGCGGAAGCCCTCACTGAAGAAAAGGTTGTTTTCGCTGCAGTGCGCTCACAGCACACTGAAGCTAACGAGTCATCAGATGAGTTCATACTGGCTCGTGAAACGGTAGTCCGTTTTGTGCAAGACTCCATCGCCGAAGCGGTGGATAAGCAAAAGCAAAACGCTGACAGGAATGGAAGGGTAAACACTATTTTATTCAATGAAGGTGACTTAGTCCTACTGTCTACGGTTAACCTATTAAAGCATGTAGTGACTAACTTGGGTAGCAGTAAACTACTTCCCAAGTACATCGGTTTTTTTCGTGTATTGCACCACCTAGGCAATGCATACACGATCGAGTTGCCACGTAAGATGCGAACGCATCCCACGTTTTACGTTGGTCGGCTTAAGCCGTACCATCAGTACGCTATTTCTTCCGATGAAGAACGCCCTTGCGCTCAAGAATCTCGCAGAGAGCCTTGTGCTCCCGATGGTGGGCATCGACAAGGGTCTGAAGAGCAGTTATCTCATCCCGAGACCGATCAACAATCCCACGAGCTACCCTTAGCTCGTCACGAAGAGATGTCAGAGATCTCTCGTTCTCAAGCTGAGCAAAGGCAAACTCAACTCGATGCTTCGAGACAGTGTCCGCCATTTGGAGACGCCTGTCCCGCTCATGTTCGAGATCGTTGCGTAACCTTTGCGTTACGCGATCAAAGAAGCTCTCGGGAACACACCGATCCCCACGATCGTGTGGAGAGCGTCTTTCCTCCTCCTCCACCTCCATTAGAGGACTCTCGCGGTGGCCAGAGCTATCTAGTTGAGCAGCTGTTGAACCACCGCGACGTAAACGGACGTCGGACAAGTTATCTCGTCCGATGGCGCGGCTATCCCCCGTCCTGGGATACTTGGGAGCCCCGCTCCCAACTGATGATCGACGTACTGGGTCTGGTTGAGCAGTACGACGCGGCACATCCTGTGCCGCAGAAGGACCGCCGGAGGAAGTCTCCCCGGCACGGTCATAAAGGGATTTCAGGTTTTCAATCCCTTCGTACATCTCAGTAGAGACACGTACGCGCCACCACGGGCTATTAAGGAGGTAAGCCTCCTTAGGTGCTCGTGCAGAGTTGTTCACACAACATGGGCAGGGGTCTCCCCAGGAAAGACAGGGTAAACCACCCTCCTTTGACAGACGATGCAGCTTATACCGTGCACCTGTCGAGGTTCTTTTCTCAAACTTATCACGAGCTGTGATAAGAATTCATTCTCAGCGTGATAGTTTTTCGCACTGGGGTCAAGGTGGTGGATCCTTGACGAATCGAATAATCGTACTCGATAACGATCACTTGTCGGCGACGACAAGTGATCCATGACAGATTTGGGAGGCATCCATGCCTTCTTCTCGGGAGCGAGACGCAAGACATTGCGGTCCCGCTCTTTCTGCGACGTGCCGACAGAAGTACTGGCACCTCGCTGTGAAGTGGTGTCCATAGGTGAACCGACACCACTGTTAGCGCCCGAGTCTTGCGATCTCGAGCGCCTTCGCTTCGGCGATGGTACATCTGATTCGTCAGATGAACCAAAGATGCTACGACGCAAAGCATCACCCATGCCACGCTTGGCAGGCGGCTTGGATTCGATCGCCGTCGATACGGATCCGTCTTCCGTATCAGGAGAGTTTAAGACACCGAGCTCATTCTCTGTGAAGAGATGAGTGTCTTCATGACGAGTGTCAGCATCCCCAGGTGATACAGGCTGAGTCGCTTCAGCAACCGATGACGCATCGGTTGCAGCGGTTTCTGCTTTAGCGTCTGCACAGAGACGTGCAGACGCGCTCTCGGCGGCCTTGCTCGCGTACCGCATGGACTTGTTAACCATGCGATGAGATGTTGGAAAATGGACTCGGACCAACAAGTGCAAACCCTGTCCCAAATGATTTGGGACGAGAATCCATTTAGTCAATCAGTCACTAAAGTGACTGATGGTTAAGGGGGGGGTGATGTAACGGGGTGAATCGTTGCATAACAATTTATAACAAATTGTAAATAGAATATAACTATAACAGTTATATTCTCGGAATATTGTCATAAGGACAATATTCTACAGCGCTTACGAGTAGTTCCTAATTGGTTGATATAGACCATTATATCAACCAACGAAGACGCGCCACGACAGACGCACGCAATGAGTGGTGAGCAGATAGTTGATATACACATTTGTATTTAGACATTGTTAGATGAGGATAAGTAGTGAATTATTGACAGGCATTAACTATCATAAATACAGTTCTACTTTTTACTTCATCCAAGTACTCGCTTCTTCTTACCGTCTTCCTCTGCACGTTCCAGTGTACGTGAAGTTCCGAGGCACCGCCTTATTCTGTTATCAGAATAAATAGTTTTTACTGTCATCAGTACAAGCTTCAGGGTTCCCCGTTACACTTTCCAGCTTTGATAGACGTAACGTCGGATCGAAGTTTTCTGACCCTTCACTGTTAACATTAGGTGATGCGACATGTGTGAGATGGACATTAGGATGGATTAGTGTGTCCATGGGTCAGAGGTTAGAATCAGTAGTACTACTCGTAGACCAAGCTTGCTGTAGCTCAAGTGGTTATGTGTGGCAGCCATAACCCAGAGGTCACTGGTTCGATACCCGGCGGCAAAAGTTAAACCTTCGGGTCCTGGTGTTTGGGGTTCACCAGCACTGTCCTGCCAGACAGTGACGTCCCCCATTTTGTGTGTCAACGGAAAGCTGTGTGCCACACCAGAGATCCCGTTATAGGAACGGAACATGGGAACGGAACATGGGAAAGGAACATGGGAAAGGAACATGGGGAAGGATTTGCTGCATTGATGGGACGGGTAGCATGAAGAATGGATCGGAAGGATGAGTAGCAACGGTAGGATCGAGTTGGCACTCAAACATAATTCACTTTTGGTTTTGCTGCTTCGACCAACAGTCATCTTCACTTCAACGCTCTGCTAACTTTAACAGGTTATGAGCCCAAGTAACGACTCCACGCCCAAGGTGGCACAGTTTGACGGCACAAAATATCCGTTATGGGCGTTCAAGATGAAGATGTACCTCATCTCCAAGGGGTTATGGGAAGCGGTTAACGCCACATCTGGCGTCTCCGAGGCGAAGGAGCAGCAGGCGCATGCGGCAATCGTGCTCAACTTGAGCGATACTCAGCTCACGCATGTCATTACAACGAGTAGTGCATGCGAAGCATGGGGAGCACTCGCGCGAGTTCATCGGGCCCAAGACATGGCAAGTCGGCTGTGGCTAAAGGAGAAGTTTGCGACATTCAAGTTTACGGCATCGGACATGAGCGCCCACGTTATGGAGCTGGAGCGGCTCGTGCTGGAAATGAATGGAGCTTCGTGTGGACCAAGTGAAGAAGATACGTGTGCAACGGTGCTGCGAATTCTCCCGGCGCAATACGAGGGACTGGTGCAGGCTTTTCGCATGAGCGTCACACAATTCAGCTTTAAAGATCTGGTGAGCAAGCTGATCGCCGAGGAAGTGCGCAAGAAGGATTCGACGCGCATTGAAGACGAGACAGCGCTACATGTCGGCAAACGACAGGAGAAGAAAAGCTTTAACAAAAGGAGCGGTGGTCCGCGGAAGACAGGGTCAAGTGTTCAGTGCTTTAATTGTGGTAAGCGCGGACACTAAGCGCGAGACTGCAGGAAAAAGAAAGCTGCTAATGGCGAGAGACAAGAAGACCACTCGAATGTGGCGTTCACAGTAACTCAAGGAAATACGAGCGACTGCTGGATCATGGACTGCGGCGCAACGGCGCACATGTGCAAGGACAAAGACGCGTTTATCGACTATACGGCATCACCGACGGCACGCAATGTGAAAAGCGCGAAAAACAGTGCAAGCTTAAAGGCGCTTGGACAAGGCACGGTGATCTTGCGTGTTTGGAATGGCACGTTGTGGATTAATGACCGGCTGGAAAATACACTACACGTGCAAGATATCAACAAGAACCTGTTCTCACTGACAGCAGCTACTGCACGCGGGATGACGGTTGAAATCACCAGCGACGGGTGCACTGTTTTGAAGAGCGGGCGAATCGTCGCGTCAGGAAAGCGATGTGGTATGCTTATCAATCTAAATGTCGAAGAAAGTCCACAATGCCATATGGTGGAGGGTGAAGCTGAACTGTGGCACCGCCGACTTGGACACGTGTCATACTCGACTGTGAACAAGCTGATTCAAGACGGCTGCATTAAAGGAAAATGCTTGGACTCGAATGTCGTCTGTGACATATGTGCAACAGCCAAGCAAGTACGCAAGACTTTCCACAGCACTAAGGCTGATGCAGAAGCGAGGGAGAGTCATCGTATGGACTCAGTCATATGCTCGGATGTTCTAGGACCGATAACACCAGCATCAAGATCGACCTATCGATACGTTGCAACGTTCATGATGATGAACAGCCGCTTTGCGATGGTATTCCCGCTACGAAAAAAGAGTGAAGTCACGAAAGCATTAAAAAGGTGCTGTCACGATATCAAAATCGAATGCGGTTTGGACGTGAAGGTACTACGCAGTGATAACGGCGGTGAGTACCGTAATGACGAGATGACTCGATTCTGCCATCAAAAGATGATAAAGCAAGAGTTCACAGTGCCGTATAATCCGGAGCAGAATGGCATGGCGGAGCGGCTTAATCGCACACTAGTCGAGATGACGCGCTGTATGCTGAGCGAATCCAAGATGGATAAAACATTCTGGTGTGAGGCGATGCTGACCGCTGTGGATATTCTCAACGTTCTTCCACGAGCTTCAAGTCCGAACCTAAGCCCGTTCGAGATGGTGTTCAAGCGCAAACCTCGTATGGATATAATGCGCGTATTTGGAAGTCTTTGCTACGCGCATATTCCCAAACAAAATCGGAATAAGTTGGACCCCTCCGGTTTGCGGTGTATGCTGCTCGGATACGCCAAACAGCACAAAGCGTATCGACTTCTAAATACAGCGACTGGAAAAGTGTTCGTTTCCCGGAGTGTGACTTTTGTGGAGACTGCCGAGGAACAGACACGCTACGAAGATACGCCTAGTGTAATTGACGTCGTTGGCGATGGCGACGATCTGCAGGATCCGAGGGACCACGCAATAAGCGATGAGGGAACCTGCACGCCGGTACCAGGAAGTCCAATTATGACACCAAATAGTACAGTACCGATGGACAGACCAACCGGAGCAGTAACCACATGACAATCAAGCACACCAGGACGAGACGGCGAACAAGAGTGGAATGTGAGACCAGCACGCAAGAAGCAAGCAATCAAGCGCTACGAGCAAGAGTTTCCCAATCTACGGCGAGGAACCTTCAACCTTGACGACTATGACGCTAGCTACGCGACGCAGTACTGTTTGAGCGCTGAAGAGGATGGTGAAAGCGCATCGACATACTCTCAAGTGTTGGAAAGCAAGTACAAGGACGACTGGATACGTGCAATGAAAAGTGAGATTCAAGCTTTGACACAGCACGACACATGGACGCTTCAAGATTTACCCTCGGACAAAAGATCAATAGGTTGCAAGTGGGTATTTCGCATAAAGCGCAAACCTAACGGAGAAATCGTGAAGTTCAAGGCACGACTCGTAGCGAAGGGATTCTCCCAGCGTCCTGGTGTGGACTATTTTGAGACGTTTTCTCCAGTAGCACGAAAAGAGTCAATCAACGTTGCTATAGCACTTGCGGCGGAGCAAGATTTGATAATGGAGAACGTTGACGTTGACACCGCTTTCCTCTACGGCGAATTCAAGGAAGAGATCTACATGGATCAGCCGGATGGATTTGTGGACAAGCAACACCGTGACAAGAAGTGTCTGCTAAACAAAGCTTTGTACGGTACAAAGCAAGCGGCACGAGAATGGAATCATCGTCTTAACGCACACCTTGAAAGCCAAGGGTTCACGCGTACGTCTGCCGATCTCTGTGTCTATGTGCGACAATCGGATACTCAATTTAGTCTGGTGATCATTCACGTTGACGACTTGATGCTCTTCGCTCGGACGCAAGAACACATCGATGACATCAAGCGTGCACTCAAGACCGAGTTCAGTATTAAAGAGCTCGGCGAACTGAAGTACTGTCTTGGCATCGAATTGACGCGTGATCGCAAGAGCAAATCTATTCGAATGAATCAGCGTGCTTACATCAAGCGTTTGACTGAGAAATTCGGCGTCGACCAATGCAAGGACGTGCACACGCCGTCAAACGAAAGTGAAAAGCTGACCAAGCTGGGGGACGATGATGAATTCGTGCCGAAGTGGCCTTACCGTGAGCTAGTTGGTGCACTTATGTACGTTGCAACGTGCACTAGACCAGACATCATGCACGCGGTAGGAGAAGTGGCTAAATACTGCGAAAGGCATGGAAAAAGCCACTGGATCGCGGCCAAGCGTGTTCTGAAATACCTGAAGACAACTGCAGATTACAGCATTGTATTTCACGGCACCGATAAGGGAGAGTTGCTCGGTTTTGCTGATGCGTCATGGGCAAGTGACCTGGATTCTCGCCGCTCGACGACAGGCTACGTTTTCTTTCTGCACGGCAATGTGGTGTCGTGGAAGTGGAAGAGACAACCGACAGTGGCGACGTCTAGCACCGAGGCTGAGTACATAGCATTGTACGCTGCAGCGCAAGAGGCGGTGTGGCTACGACTATTACTGTCCGACATTGGCGTAGAAGTTGGAGCGGCTACAACCATCTATGAAGACAATCAAGGCTGTATTGCGCTGGCGAAGAATCCAGTCTACCATGCAAGAACAAAACATATCGACATCAAGTATCACTTCCTTCGCGACAAGGTTGAGGAAGGCGTCATTGAGCTTGAGTACATGCCAACAGAAGCGATGATTGCAGACGGCTTGACGAAGGCTCTCGGGCTTACCAAGCATGCCGTTTTTCTGCAAGGTCTACATCTGGAAGTGTAGGCGATTCCAGGCATACGTGTGCGCATCAAGGGAGAGTGTTAACATTAGGTGATGCGACATGTGTGAGATGGACATTAGGATGGATTAGTGTGTCCATGGGTCAGAGGTTAGAATCAGTAGTACTACTCGTAGACCAAGCTTGCTGTAGCTCAAGTGGTTATGTGTGGCAGCCATAACCCAGAGGTCACTGGTTCGATACCCGGCGGCAAAAGTTAAACCTTCGGGTCCTGGTGTTTGGGGTTCACCAGCACTGTCCTGCCAGACAGTGACGTCCCCCATTTTGTGTGTCAACGGAAAGCTGTGTGCCACACCAGAGATCCCGTTATAGGAACGGAACATGGGAACGGAACATGGGAAAGGAACATGGGAAAGGAACATGGGGAAGGATTTGCTGCATTGATGGGACGGGTAGCATGAAGAATGGATCGGAAGGATGAGTAGCAACGGTAGGATCGAGTTGGCACTCAAACATAATTCACTTTTGGTTTTGCTGCTTCGACCAACAGCCATCTTCACTTCAACGCTCTGCTAACTTTAACATTCACGTGGCGGTAGTACAAGCGTAAATCTAGCACCGGTATCATTTTATAAGTACTGTATGAAGAGAGGGTGCGGATAGCAAAAAGTGGTTATGCGGATAAACCATTCCCGTAATAAATGTAGAGAGCCTGTCCTTAGTACGCTCCACTGAGGTACGATAACTCTCTTTATTGCGAACCCACAGGGTGAAGCCAACAGTGACTGTGCGTAAAATGTGTTGTAAATGATACGCCTCGGTATGACGTTTCAGAAAAGCGTTCTGTAGCTCAGTCGGTTTAGTATGGCAGTACCATCCAAAAGGTCACTGGTTCGATACCGGTGGGGCGTGCAAACGAAAAAGTTAAGCCTTCGGGATCTGGTGTTTGGGGTTCATAAGCACTGTCCTCCCAGACAGTGACGTCCCCCACTTTCGGTACGTTTGGGTGTTTAGAAACGCATGACCAGAATTAGAAACGTACGACTGGACGATTAGTCATGCGCGATGTGGTGATTACTAACGCGCGACTAGACGATTAGTAATGTGCGATGTGGCTATTACTAATGCGCGACTAGACTATTAGTAATGTGCGATATAGCGATTAGGAACATATATTCGAAGAATCAAGTAGGCTTAGAGTAGCAACAGACTTTGCGAACTAAGGACCTAAATATATTCATTTTGCAATTTACCAGCTTTGATCAACTACTATAGGTTATGATCCCAAACCCTGCAGACTCTGCCCAAGACCTCGAACACGCTTTCTCTATGGACGCCATGCCGATCACCACCGCCCGCATCAACAAGTTAGCGGGAACAGAATTCCATACATGGAAGTTCAAGATGCAGATGGTGCTAAGGAGCGAGACCTGTGGGATGTCGTGAGTGGGTAGATGAAGCTTGAGCACTGCGTGTCGACATTGGACAAAGCAACGTTCAAGAGGAAGTCGCGTAAGGCACTGGTGATCATCTGCCTCGCAATGGAGGACTCGCAGTTGCCACTGGTGCGCTCGGCGGAGAATGCGTATGATGCATGGTCGCGTCTAAAGGGACACTTCGAGAAGAAGAGTTTGGCTGATAAGCTCTTTCTTCGTCGCCGTTTCTTCACGACAACGATGGGAGAAGGTGATGACGTGCTAGAGCACATCAACAAGCTCAAGACCCTGGCGGAGCAACTCGACGCGGTTGCTGCTCCGGTCAGCGAAGACGACTTGGTCGTCACTCCTTTGGCCAGTCTCAGCGAGTCCTATCAGTTCCTGAAACGGCTCTGGAGTCAAGATCCGACTCGCTGACATGGGATTTAGTGATGTCTCGGCTGATGCATGAAGACCTGAAGCGCAAGGAGCAAGGTGGCGGAGTCGATGGATCCTTGCATGGGCAAGCTCAAGCGTTCATGTCAAGAGACAACAAGCGAAACGGACGACCAGGTAGGAAGACTGGTGGGTGCCACAAGTGTGGGAAACAAGGACATTGGATCGCGGAGTACACCTCGCGGATCCAAGAAGACGCAGAACGACATCGATTCCAACGGGCGAACATGGCGCAAGATGAACATCTTGGCGACTATCTGTTTTCGGTTGGTGATGAAGTCGCCAAGTCGAGTAATGTGTGGCTGTACGACTCGGGTGCGACGCAGCACATGACGAGCTCCAAGAAGTTCATGAAGAACTACAAGGTCTCTAATCCGGTTGATGTGCACTTGGCAGACGATGGTGACGTTCAAACGGTCGACAAAGGCGACATCGTGATGTCAATGAAGACGCCACGCGGTACCAAGAAAGGTGTGCTCACGGACGCGTGGCATATCCCGATGTTATCGCGTAATCTGTTCTCCGTGGGTAGATTCAATAAGGACGTCGGGCCAGTCACCTTGAAACCAACGGATGTTCGCGAAGACGAAATGTGTCAAGTGGAAGCTCGGTGCTCGCTAAGGCAAAGGGCCCTTCAAACTCTGCATGACGCCAGAAGCTTCTAACGAGGCAAACGTGTCAAGTTCGAATGATTGTAAAAGCGGTACCGGGTCGTATCTATGGCATCTTCGGCTTGGTCACATCGGCCACGGAGGACTTGACGCCATCGTCAAGAAAGGTTATGGAACCGGCATTGACTTGGCCTCGGTGAACAAATGGGAGACTTGCAGCGGGTGTGCACTCGGCAAGCAAACACGAGTGAGCTAAATGTCGAAGTCTCCTGAACAAGCAAAGGAGTTGCTGGAGGTCATTCACAGTGAAGTGTGTGGACCCATGCAAATCTGTACCTACAGTGGCAAACGTTATTCTGTTACATTTATCGACAAATACTCACAATACTGTATGGTATTTCAACTCAAGAACAAGTCTGAAGTGGCGACCAAATTTGCAGAATTCGTCGCGTGGGCGGAAAACCAGACTGGTAAGCGCGTGAAGCTTCTTCGTTGTGACAATGGTAACGAATACACCTCCGGTGCGATGTCCAAGCTGTGTGTGGACCGTGGCATTGTGCAATAATTTACGCCGCCGTACACTCCTCAACTGAACGGTGTTGCCGAAAGGATGAATCGGACATTGGTGGAAAGCGCCCGCTGCATTATGGAACATGCTGGGCTAGCGAAATCGTATTGGGGAAAAGCAGTCATGACTGCCAAATTCTTGTACAATCGCTGCCCAACCCGTGCTACACGTCATGACAAGTCACCACATCAAGCTTGGACCGAAAAGAAACCTTTGCTTGCGAATTTGAAGGTGTTCGGGTGTCATGCTTATGTGCATGTTCCAGAGGAAAAACGGTCCAAGCTCGACGCTCGATCAATATAATGTCGGTTCATGGGATATGCAGATAACGAGAAAGTACATCGATTCGAAGAGATCAAGAGTGGTCGTGTGCTGGTCAGCTGCGACGCACAGTTTATGGAAGACGTCTTCGACATTGGAAGACGCGACTACGTTCAAGCAGAAGTAGTTCTAGAAGATGAAAAGGGTTCAACGGATGAAGACTCATCGTGTTCCAACAAAAAAAAAAGAAGAAGAAAATGTGCGGGATAAAGACGTCGAACCTGGCAGCAAGCGATATCAACGCACACGATCACTGGAAGAAGCTGTCGATATTCCAAGGGCAAAACGACTAAGTCGGGATCAAGGTTTGGTCGAGACATCTGCGGTGGCTCAAGAACTTCATGACTTTGAGGCTGTCTACGTCATGGATTCAGTGGGAGAAATGCCAACGACGTTCAAAACGGCCATGGAATCCATAGACGCAGTAAAGTGGAAAGAAGCGTGCGACTGAGAAATGGAAGCTCTTCGCAAAACCAAGACCTGGGACCTCGTACCACTACCAAAAGGCCGTAAAGCAATCGGTAATCGATGGGTCTTTCGAGTCAAGGAGAATCAGGCTGGGGAATTCGAGCTAATCAAAGCGCGCTTATTGGCCAAAGGTTTTCTCAGAAGCGTGGTATTGACTAAGATGAGAACTTTGCGCCCGTGGCCAAGTTCACGTCAATCAGGATTTTGTTCAACCTGGTAGCCAAGTATAGCTTGTCGGTACACCAAATGGATGTCAAGACGGCGTTTCTTAATGTGCTCCTGGACGAAGACAATTACATGGTGCAGACAGACGGTCACGTCGATGAAGATCACCCAGACTTTGTTTGTCAGCTCAAGCGCTCCCTGCACGGTCTAAAGCAGTTACCACGGATGTGGAACCAGACCATCAACAAGTTTATGCTGGAACTGGATTTTAAGAAATGTGAAACGGATCACTGCATTTATGTTAAGCGAGCCGATCAAGACATGATTTTCATGGCACTATACGTCGACGATTCGGTTCTCGCGAGCAACAACGACGAGCTGCTAAAGTAAACAAAGACGGCGCTGGGTGATCTTTTTGACATGACGGATCTGGGAAACCTCAAGTATGTTCTCGTTATGGAAGTTGATCAAGATTTCACAATTGGCACAATCTCGATTCGTCAGTCCAAATTCGCGAAGGACATCCTCGAGAAATTTGGCATGGAACATAGCAATCCAGTTAAGACTCCACAAGAACCCGGGCTGAAGCTGACAAGGTCCATGTGCGAAGGAGGATGCAAGCACGAAGACACGATGGCAAAATCTTCCATGTCGCAATTCTGTTGGATTCCTGATGTACATCATGGTAGGGACTCGCCCGGATCTCGCAGTTGCAGTGGGAGTGCTCAGCCAGTTTGCAGCGGATCCTTGTCCGACACATTGGCAAGCACTCAAGCGAGTATTCCGGTACATCCAAGGCACACAAACCCATGGGATTGAATTTCAAGCCACAAGCAATGACAAGCTTCAAGGCTACTCAGATGCATACTGGGCTGGTGATGTGGAAACTCGACGAAGCACAAGTGGATACGCGTTCCTGATGAACAATGGGTGTATCAGCTGGAGAATCAAGAAACAGCGTACAGTGGCTCTATCGTCTACGGAAGCCGAGTACATGGCGTTGACAGAAGCCACACAAGAAGCAGTATGGCTAAAGGAATTTTTGTGTGAGATTGGTGAAATGAAGAACGACGAAGCTGTCAAGATCTATGAAGATAACCAAGGTTCCATTGCGTTGGCCAAGAACCCCGAGTTCCATAAAAGAACGAAGCATATCGACATCCGGTATCACTTCGTGCGCGAGAAGGTTGCAGACGGCCAAGTGTTGCTACAGTACTGCGCTACGAAGAACAAGAAAGCAGACCTCATGACGAAGCCGATCCCCGCTGCACAGTTCGAATATCTTCAGGGCATGATAGGGATCAAGACGCTACGGTCTGCCAAGGCGAGTGGGAGTGTTGTAAATGATACGCCTCGGCATGACGTTTCAGAAAAGCGTTCTGTAGCTCAGCAGGTTTGGTATGGCAGTACCATCCAAAAGGTCACTGGTTCGATACCGGTGGGGCGTGCAAACGAAAAAGTTAAGCCTTCGGGATCTGGTGTTTGGGGTTCATAAGCACTGTCCTCCCAGACAGTGACGTCCCCCACTTTCGGTACGTTTGGGTGTTTAGAAACGCATGACCAGAATTAGAAACGTACGACTGGACGATTAGTCATGCGCGATGTGGTGATTACTAACGCGCGACTAGACGATTAGTAATGTGCGATGTGGCTATTACTAATGCGCGACTAGACTATTAGTAATATGCGATATAGCGATTAGGAACATATATTCGAAGAATCAAGTAGGCTTAGAGTAGCAACAGACTTTGCGAACTAAAGACCTAATACATTCCGTTTGTGTAACGGGGCACCCTGAAGCTTTTACTGGTGACAGTACAAGCTACTTATTCTGATGACAGAATAAGGCGGTGCCTCGTAACCTCACGTACACTCGTACGTGCAGAGGAAGACGGTAAGAAGAAGCGAGTACTTGGTTAGAGTAAAAAGTAGAACTGTATTTATAATAGTTAATGTCTGCAATAAATCACTATTTATCTTCATCTAACTATGTCTAAATACAAATGTGTAAATCAATTATCTGCTCACCACTCATTGCGTGCGTCTGTCGTGGCGCGTCTTCGTTGGTTGATATCATGGCCTATATCAACCAATTAGGAACTACTCGTAAGTGCTACAGAATATTTGTCCTTATGACAATATTCTGAGGATATAACTCTTATAGTTATATTCTATTAACAATTTCTTATAAATTGTTATGTAACGATTCACCCCGTTACATCACCCCCCTTAACCATCAGTCACTTTAGTGACTGATTGACTAAATGGATACTCGTCCCAAATCATTTGGGACAGGGTTTGCACTTGTTGGTAGGAAAAACGGTCCAAGCTCGACGCTCGATCAATATAATGTCGGTTCATGGGATATGCAGATAACGAGAAAGTACATCGATTCGAAGAGATCAAGAGTGGTCGTGTGCTGGTCAGCTGCGACGCACAGTTTATGGAAGACGTCTTCGACATTGGAAGACGCGACTACGTTCAAGCAGAAGTAGTTCTAGAAGATGAAAAGGGTTCAACGGATGAAGACTCATCGTGTTCCAACAAAAAAAAAAGAAGAAGAAAATGTGCGGGATAAAGACGTCGAACCTGGCAGCAAGCGATATCAACGCACACGATCACTGGAAGAAGCTGTCGATATTCCAAGGGCAAAACGAGCAAGTCGGTATCAAGGCTTGGTCGAGACATCTGCGGTAGTCATGACTTTGAGGCTGCCTACGTCATGGATTCAGTGGGAGAAATGCCAACGACGTTCAAGTCGGCGATGGAATCCAGTGACGCAGTCAAGTGGAAAGAAGCGTGCGACTGAGAAATGGAACCTCTTCGCAAAACCAAGACCTGGGACCTCGTACCACTACCAAAAGGCCGTAAAGCAATCGGTAATCGATGGGTCTTTCGAGTCAAGGAGAATCAGGCTGGGGAATTCGAGCTAATCAAAGCGCGCTTATTGGCCAAAGGTTTTCTCAGAAGCGTGGTATTGACTAAGATGAGAACTTTGCGCCCGTGGCCAAGTTCACGTCAATCAGGATTTTGTTCAACCTGGTAGCCAAGTATAGCTTGTCGGTACACCAAATGGATGTCAAGACGGCGTTTCTTAATGTGCTCCTGGACGAAGACAATTACATGGTGCAGACAGACGGTCACGTCGATGAAGATCACCCAGACTTTGTTTGTCAGCTCAAGCGCTCCCTGCACGGTCTAAAGCAGTTACCACGGATGTGGAACCAGACCATCAACAAGTTTATGCTGGAACTGGATTTTAAGAAATGTGAAACGGATCACTGCATTTATGTTAAGCGAGCCGATCAAGACATGATTTTCATGGCACTATACGTCGACGATTCGGTTCTCGCGAGCAACAACGACGAGCTGCTAAAGTAAACAAAGACGGCGCTGGGTGATCTTTTTGACATGACGGATCTGGGAAACCTCAAGTATGTTCTCGTTATGGAAGTTGATCAAGATTTCACAATTGGCACAATCTCGATTCGTCAGTCCAAATTCGCGAAGGACATCCTCGAGAAATTTGGCATGGAACATAGCAATCCAGTTAAGACTCCACAAGAACCCGGGCTGAAGCTGACAAGGTCCATGTGCGAAGGAGGATGCAAGCACGAAGACACGATGGCAAAATCTTCCATGTCGCAATTCTGTTGGATTCCTGATGTACATCATGGTAGGGACTCGCCCGGATCTCGCAGTTGCAGTGGGAGTGCTCAGCCAGTTTGCAGCGGATCCTTGTCCGACACATTGGCAAGCACTCAAGCGCGTGTTCAGGTACGTCCAAGGCACACAAACCCATGGGATTGAATTTCAAGCCACAAGCAATGACAAGCTTCAAGGCTACTCAGATGCATACTGGGCTGGTGATGTGGAAACTCGACGAAGCACAAGTGGATACGCGTTCCTGATGAACAATGGGTGTATCATCCGGAGAAGCAAGAAACAGCGTACATTGGCTCTATCGTCTACGGAAGCCGAGTACATGGCGTTGACAGAAGCCACACAAGAAGCAGTATGGCTAAAGGCATTTTTGTGTGATATTGGTGAAGTGAAAAACGACGAAGCTGCCAAGATCTATGAAGATAACCAAGGCTCCAGTGCGTTGGCCAAGAACCCCGAGTTCCATAAAAGAACGAAGCATATCGACATCCGGTATCACTTCGTGCGCGAGAAGGTTGCAGACGGCTAAGTGTTGCTACAGTACTGCGCTACGAAGAACATGAAAGCAGACCTCATGACGAAGCCGATCCCCGCTGCGCAGTTCGAATATCTTCAGGGCATGATAGGGATCAAGACGCTACGGTCTGCCAAGGCGAGTGGGAGTGTTGTAAATGATACGCCTCGGCATGACGTTTCAGAAAAGCGTTCTGTAGCTCAGCAGGTTTGGTATGGCAGTACCATCCAAAAGGTCACTGGTTCGATACCGGTGGGGCGTGCAAACGAAAAAGTTAAGCCTTCGGGATCTGGTGTTTGGGGTTCATAAGCACTGTCCTCCCAGACAGTGACGTCCCCCACTTTCGGTACGTTTGGGTGTTTAGAAACGCATGACCAGAATTAGAAACGTACGACTGGACGATTAGTCATGCGCGATGTGGTGATTACTAACGCGCGACTAGACGATTAGTAATGTGCGATGTGGCTATTACTAATGCGCGACTAGACTATTAGTAATATGCGATATAGCGATTAGGAACATATATTCGAAGAATCAAGTAGGCTTAGAGTAGCAACAGACTTTGCGAACTAAAGACCTAATACATTCCGTTTGTGTAACGGGGCACCCTGAAGCTTTTACTGGTGACAGTACAAGCTACTTATTCTGATGACAGAATAAGGCGGTGCCTCGTAACTTCACGTACACTCGTACGTGCAGAGGAAGACGGTAAGAAGAAGCGAGTACTTGGTTAGAGTAAAAAGTAGAACTGTATTTATAATAGTTAATGTCTGCAATAAATCACTATTTATCTTCATCTAACTATGTCTAAATACAAATGTGTAAATCAATTATCTGCTCACCACTCATTGCGTGCGTCTGTCGTGGCGCGTCTTCGTTGGTTGATATCATGGCCTATATCAACCAATTAGGAACTACTCGTAAGTGCTACAGAATATTTGTCCTTATGACAATATTCTGAGGATATAACTCTTATAGTTATATTCTATTAACAATTTCTTATAAATTGTTATGTAACGATTCACCCCGTTACATCACCCCCCCCTTAACCATCAGTCACTTTAGTGACTGATTGACTAAATGGATACTCGTCCCAAATCATTTGGGACAGGGTTTGCACTTGTTGGTCCGCGTCCACTTTCCAACATCTCATCGAATGGTAAACAAGCCCATGCGATGCGCGAGCAAGGCCGCCGAGAGCGCGTCCGCACGTCTCGGTGCGGACGCCGAAGCAGAAACTGCAGCAACTGATATTTCATCGGTTGCTGAAGCCACTCAGCCTGTATCACCTGGGGATGCAGACACTCGTCATGAAGACACTCATGTCTTCACAGAGAATGAGCTAGGTGTCTTAAACTCTCCTGATACGGAAGACGGATCCGTATCGACGGCGATTGAATCCAAGCCGCCTGCCAAGCGTGGCATGGACGATGCTTTGCTTCGCAGCATCTTTGGTTCATCTGATGAATCAGATGAACCATCGCCGAAGCGAAGGCGCTCGAGGTCGCGAGACTCGGGCGCTAACAGTGGCGTTGGTTCACCTATGGACACCACTTCACAGCGAGGTGCCAGTACTTCTGTCTGCACGTCGCAGGAAGAGCGGGACCGCAATGTGTTGCGTCTCGCTCCTGAAAAGAAGGCATGGATGCCTCCTAAATCCGTCATGGATCACTTGTCGGCGACGACGAGTGATTGTTATCGAACACGGTTGTTCGATTCGTCAAGGATCCATCACCTTGACCCCAGCGCGAAAGACTATCGCGCTGAACATGAATTCTTCATCGATGCTTTCTTCAAACATCGATGGTACAGTGGGAATCACAAACGTGATGGTCCCTCACTGCTTCAAGCGTGGAACGCCTACATCCATAACCTCGAGGATGTAGGTCGTGACGCTTGGAACGACAAACTTATCAAAGCTCGTGATAAGTTTGAAAAGTGAACCCCGACAGGTGCACGCTACAAGCTGCATCGTCTGTCAAGGGAGAAAGGATTACCCTGTCTCTCTTGGGGAGACTCGTGCCCATGTTGTGTGAACAACTCTGCACGAGCACCTAAGGAGGCTTACCTCCCTAATAGCCCGTGGTGGCGCGTACGTATCTCTATTGAGATGTACGAAGGGATTGACAACTTGAAATCCCTTTACGACCGTGCCGGGAAGACTTTCTCCGGCGGTCCTTCTGCGGCACAGGATGTGTCGCGTCGTACTGCTCAACCAGAACCAGTACGTCGATCATCAGTTGGGAGCGGGGCTCCCAAGAATCCCAGGACGGGGGATAGCCGCGCCACCGGACGAGATAACTCGTCCGACGTCCGTTCACGTCGCGGTGGTTCGACAGCTGCTCAACTAGATAGCTCTGGCCACCGCGAGAGTCCTCTAATGGAGGTGGAGGAGGAGGAAAGACGCTCTCCACACGGTCATGTGGATCGGTGTGTTCCCGAGAGCTTCTTTGATCGCGTAACGCAAGGGTTGCGCGACGATCTCGAGCATGAGCGGAATAGGCGTCTCCAAATGGCGGACACTGCCTCGAAGCATCGAGCTGAGTTTGCCTTTGCTCAGCTTGAGAACGAGAGATCTCTGACATCTCTTCGTGACGAGCTAAGGGTAGCTCGTGGGATTGTTGATCGGTCTCGGGATGAGATAGCTGCTCTTCAGACCCTTGTTGATGCCCACCATCGGGAGCACAAGGCTCTCTGCGAGATGCTTGAGCGCAAGGGCGTTCTTCATCGGAAGAAGCAGCGTACTGATGGTACGGCTTAAGCCGACCAACGTAAAACGTGGGATGCGTTCGCATCTTACGTGGCAACTCGATCGTGTATGCATTGCCTAGGCGGTGCAATACACGAAAAGGGCCGATGTACTTGGGTAGTAGTTTACTGCTACCCAAGTTAGTCACTACATGCTTTAATAGGTTAACCGTAGACAGTAGGACTAAGTCACCTTTATTAAATAAAAGAGTGTTTACCCTTCCATTCTTGTCAGCGTTTTGCTTTTGCTTATCCACCGCTTCGGCGATGGAGTCTTGCACAAAACGGACTACCGTTTCACGAGCCAGTATGAACTCATCTGATGACTCGTTAGCTTCAGTGTGCTGTGAGCGCACTGCAGCGAAAACAACCTTTTCTTCAGTGAGGGCTTCCGCACTCTCACTGGGATCATTGTCTTCAGTGAGGGCTTCCGCACTCTCACTGGCATCATCTTCTTCGATTTCGATGTTATCGATATCGGCATCAAACGCAATGACTTCTTCGTCAGAGCGTGATGAGCGTGAACCAAATCGGTTTTTGCTCGCGCGAGTCCCTCCCCCCCTTAAACCAGAGTTACACTCTAGTAAGGTGGGTACACGCGGATGGCGCAAGCCATTCACGTAAAACGGTGTATGTGTCGTCGACGCATGCACCGAGTTGTTGATGGCAAACTCTACCATTGGCAAAAACTCACTCCAACTCTTAAAGGAGTGTACGTATCCTCGAAGTATCTCTTCAAGGACACGATTGGCACGTTCCGTCTGACCATCTGACTCTGGATGATCAGATGTTGACATCTTCAAGCGCGTTCCGAGTGATTTGAACACGGAACGCCAGAAATCAGCAGTGAATCGTGGATCTCTGTCTGATACGAGTTCACGGGGCAACCCATGAAGTCGGAAGATGGTGTCAATAAAGACACAAGCACAGCCACTTGCCGTGATTGTCTCTGGTACAGCCACAAGGTGTACCATTTTGCTGAGTCTGTCAACAAATACGAGAATACCCGTATTCCCGCGTGTGTCTTTGGGTAACCCGAAGACGAAATCCATTGAGATGGATTCCCAGCACTCAGCCGGAACTGGTAGAGGCTATAAAGGTGCACGTAGTGAAGGACCTGACTTCACTCGTTGACAGCCTTCGCATGCGCGAACACACTTGCGCACAAACTGATACTGGCGGGGCCAGTAAAAGTCTCGACTCACCGTGAGATACGTTTTCTCTCGGCCACGATGTCCTCCTATAGGAGCATCGTGATACTCGAACATGATCCGCAAACGCAGATCAGTATCATCTGGAATGACAACACGTGGTGTGTCACCAGTAACGGCTGTATAATACAGGTAAACCGTTGCGAGTAGTGTATCGACCTGATGCAGATCGATGCGCAGACGATAATCGGTTCAACGATTCTCGAGATGGTTGTGAGCGATGTGTCAACAACTTCACAATCTCA